TAAATAATACAAAAAATGTCAATATCTCTCTCTATTAAAGAAAATATACAAATATAATATCTTGAATACATAACTGTAACGGCACTTTATTTTCAATTATAAAGAAGTAAGAAAAAACATTACATATTTACGGCTGTTGTCAGTGCAAGGAAACTGTTTTAAAACAATATTATTTTAATTAAAATGAAAATCGTAAGAAATAATATTGTCACAAAAAACTATTTTACTGTTTAAAATAATATTATTTTAATTTCTATAAGTAATGATATCACGCACAATTGATAAATTAATAAATAATGGCTTTTTAAATTTTCCTAAAAATAAATTTATTTTATTTTTTTTTAAATAATTTAAATTTAATTTTTTAAATTTTCTTATAAATAAATTTAAATTTCATATTATTAATATATTTAAATTTTATTTCTAACATTATTGGTATTCTAATAGCTCTGATATTTCTGTGTTAAGAAAGTTGTAATAATCTCAATAGAACAATCTCTTACTTGCTGTCTAAGGCAGCGGGAAACCGAGATTTGGAGAACGTGACCTAATCTCGTGAGCTAGTTGCATGCTCTAATAGCATATCCTAATCAAATGCGTTGGGAGTATTTCATGCTATTACATGTAATAAAAAATATGTTCTCCAAGATATGCTTCTGTTAAAAGTTTTTTTCATATCTTTCGCTATGCATTCTAGCCAATATTTGCCACCTATTCTTTGCATAGCTTGTATCATTTTTTCAATATTGGATTTATCCTTTATCTTTCCTGACTACGTTTGCTTTGACTACATCTTTTTTTTGGCTACATTTAGCTATTTTGCCTTCTACTAAAACTCAAGGTTGGAAAAAATTCTCTTTCTAGCTCATTACCGTTATCGATAGATAAGCATAAACATTTTAAGCTTTACGATCATGTGATCTTACGATCATGTAATCTTATGATGATTGTTCATTGAATATCGTTTTCATGTAACTTTGTTTTAACTGATGTAAAGCCAAACTATCAATTTCAAAATTGATTAACTAAAATTCTTATATTAAAATATATAATATAATTTATAATAAAATTTAATATAATTATAATTATAATTTATAATTATAATTTATAATTATGATAAAACAAAATTAATTAAATTTTTCTATTATTTATTATCACATTGCATGTAATTTAATTAATTGATAGCTTACTTTTATAATAATTAAGATAATATTTTTAATATGTGAATATAAACGAATAAACTATAAAAAATTAGAGTCTATACAATCATTAATACGTTTTTTATGAAATAAATTAAGTAAAATTGATTCATTAAAAAATGTTTTCTATTCTTTATCTATTATTTTACTTTTGAAATACATATAAAAAATCTATATTAAAAGTTATTCAATCTAATCTGTTTTATCCGTTGTGGGATAATTGATCTAATCTAGAATATATATCTATATCTATAATTTCTATAAATCCATTATCTTAAATAAAATAAAAACTGTCACTCACTAACAGATGTACAACAGCGGAATTAATGATAGTTGATGGATTGAAGTAAAGCTACATTGATTTCTAATATATAAATAGAAAATCTAAATTGTTTAGTAACATCCAAAATAATTAATATTTTAAAAAATCATTGTACAAATTGAATTTTATAATAAATAATTAATTTTATAAATTCTGAAATGATTCTATTTCTTATTAAAGTAAAATTTTTAAAGAATTATAGCTTTTATATGTAAGATTTTTTTTCTAATTCTTTCTCTCTTTTTAAATTATTTAAATAAACAGATCAAATTCGCTATTAATCATAAAATTCAAATCTTATGTGCATGCAATTAATGTATATAATTAATATGCAAATAATAAAATATTCACCTCAGAGTTACTCTGGTACACGATGCCTTTCCTAGACCGGCTTTTTCTCTCAAGTTATCAAGATTGTCAAGATTGTCAAGGGTAATTCACACTACACGATACTTTAAACAGCACTCCCGCATTTAGATGCACGATATTTTGAACGGCATTCCCGCACTTAAATGCGACACTTTGCACAATCTCGAATTCTGCAATCATTTGAAGCAATATGTTGTTTCGCACGAGAATCACACTTCGAATCGATGAAACTTCGAGCAACAATTTTAATCGATTCGGACCAAACCGCGTTGGAATAGAGCGTGCTCTCATTGAGCGTTGCCAAGCAATATTTTAACGAGATATGCCATTCCCTTAGCACTGAAAATTATTGGCGATGGTTACAAATGCAAAAAGAGTTCGATAAAATAATACTTGCAAAATTTAAAAACTATTAACTGCGTTTGGGTATTTAAAGGAGAGGGACGATAAAACTTTTCAGGTATTAAAACTTATTCCCACTAACAAGATATCGTTGACAGGATTATAGTAAATAATTTTGTAATATACAATATATGTAAAACATATATTTTTTATAATTTGTTTTACAATAGGGAGATTGTATACCTATATTCTATTTTAACATAAGTGAATAAATTTATAAATTAAAATGATAAATATTCGTATTATAATATTCAGGAATATAATTAAACTTGCTGATTGTTTATACGATAAATTACTCAAATAAATTTTGCGAGAAATGTTACATGCATATTATAAGAAAACATGCATATTATAAGAAAATGAATATATTATATATTGTAAGAAAATGAGCGTATCAAATAAATAAATTCGTTTTTATCATAAAATATTATAACGCAATACAAAACAAATTTATGCATCGAATTATTATTCTATGTATAGAGAATTATTTTTTTGAATTTCAAATTAATTGTTAAATGATTATCATATTACTACCATTTATATTAATACATTTACTTTAATTACTTTAATCGATTTTGCAATTTATATTTTATACAAGCTCGCTCTGAATCACAAATTACATTTAAATCAGTAAAAAATTTCAACATTGCATGAAATATATGATTTTCTTTTTAAGCATCATTATGAAAATAATTATTGTCAAAAATCGTAAGAATTAGAACAGTTTTAAAACTTTTATAGTTTTTTAATAATTTTATAACATAATTTTTATAAAAAGATTTTATAATTTTTATTCCTATCGCTTAAATTTTGAAAGAATAAATAATCGCACGAAATTCATATTTTGATAAAGACCTGTTGCCGAGATACAATTTCATATTATTTATAAAAGTTAATCAATTATTAATTATAATAAATATAACATATTATTTTGTAATATTTGTCGCAATTGGAAAAGAAATTCGATAATTTACGAAGTATTTCACATTACTTTACTAGTTGATAGTCGCAGTGCGAATGATAAGAAGCATGTAAATAAAAGCTAAAATGTTATCAAGGTCGAACATGATATTATTATTAATTCTTATTAACAAAATATTTTATGCATTATAAAAATATATATATATGTATGCGGATTACTATATTTTCAATTATAGATTATATGTATGATTATTTATTAAACGTGATTAATGTATCAATTATAAGTTCTTTTGTTATGTTAATTATTCGATCCTGCGATTTGTATTTTATATAATATATTGTGTTCATAATTCGAATTATAATTAATTTAAATCATTAAAAAATCGAATGATGTAGCTTCGAATGCAATATTTAACTTTAAGCATCATTAGAGAAATAATTATAATCCATAAAAATTGCACAAAACAATAATATATAATTTTCAATTCTTTATTGCTTATAATTGAAATTATAAATGTAGTGAATAAATGACGAGAAATACGCACTTTGATAAAGGGTTGTCACAATATATCTACATATAATTAATGAATCATCAATTGAATATAGTGAATTATTTTGAGATATTTCGCACAATCGCGTTTCAAAAAGAAATTTAACTTTAATGTATGGAGCGTCTCGTACTACTATTGCTCGAGTGTCGCCGCGTGACTGACAACACATTGAGTGCTTGCGATAACAATAACAATATAATAATATGATACATATAACAATATAACAATATAATAATATATTATATGCCGTAAAGATTGAATATATATATATATATATATATATATATATATATATATATAAAGATTGTACGTAAAGATTGAATATATATATATATATTCGATCTTTACGGCATATATATATACATTCTAAAAAGGTATGTCAAAAATTTAAGGATATATTCTTCACACTTGAAGGATGAAAAAATGTTATATGAACATAGATGCAGAAATGCTTATTTCAGGAGTTATGTTGAAAATATTGTTAGCTGTATTACTTACACAAGGAAAAATTTAGGATTAATTATTGTAGACGACAATTGCTTATTTACATTTGGTTTTAATATGACCTTGAGTATGTTACAATAAATGTTGAAAATATTCACCATTTTCCTGAATACAAGCAATGACACGTCGACGTATCGATTCATGGACCCGTTCAAAAATGCCATCAGTACGTGATATTCAAGATCTTCGTGACCGTATCACTGCAGATTGCGAGATAATCCGCTGTATGCCAGGCATTTTTGAACGTGTCCGTGAATCGATGCGTCGACGTGTCATTGCTTGTATTCAGGAAAATGGTGAACATTTTCGACATTTATTGTAACATACTCAAGATAATATTAAAACCAAATGTAAATAAGCTTAATTATACGATTGTCGTCTACAATAATTAATCCTAAATTTTTCCTTGTATAAGTAATATAGCTAACAGTATTTTCAACATAACTTCTGAAATAAGCATTTCCGCACCTATGTCCATATAACATTTTTCATCCTTCAGGTGTAAGGAATATCTCCTTAAATTTTTGACATACCTTTTAGAACACTCTATATATTTATATTTATCAAAATAATATTTATTAATAAGGATAAAATTAAAATAACAATACTGTAATATAATACTGTAATATATAATATACTGCATATATTTTACCTAATTTTTTTTATTACACAAATTGAACACAAAATGCACAGTATCTTATGTGTCATATTTAGGATATAAATTTTTCTTAGAAATCATCATGTATCAAAGTATACGCACCGCAAAACAGAAATTATCATCTATGGATCGAAGGTAAACGTCATGGCAAATCAAACAGCTGATTACCATGGGGACATTTGGAACCAATGGAATCGCACAGTATTGGCGGACGAAGAGGATGCGGAAACGGAATATCTACCCAATTGGACCGATCTTGTTCTGGCAGGATTATTTACAATGCTGATTATTGTTACCATAGTGAGCATAAGCATCATCTGATATTTTAATTTTTATAAGTATTTCTATATCAAGATATTAATGATTAAATTTTATTAAAGTGCAAAGCATTAAAATATAAAAAATAAAAAGTGCAAAGCATTAAAATATAAAAATTCGTGTTTAGAATTTTACATACAGAATAGAGTTTAAACATTGAAAAACTTCCTGAAATATTGTATATGGAATCTCAAATATGTAATAATTAAAAAATTTTTAATATTGTCTAAACTTGCGTACATGTTTGCAATAATTTAGACTTTTTCTTTCTATTATTACAGGTCGGCAATACTCTAGTGATCGCGGCTGTAATTACTACTAGGCGATTACGGTCCGTAACTAATTGTTTTGTATCCAGCCTCGCAGCAGCAGATTTATTAGTCGGTCTAGCTGTGATGCCACCAGCAGTTCTGTTACAGGTACATTTGTTGTTCAAGATCTAAATAAATGTTCAATTACACAAAACATTTATCTTTAATGCTAAGCTATGAGCTTTCATCGAACCATTATGATAAGATTTTATTTAATATGTTGCAATTGAGACACATACATTATTGACAAATTGCGTCACGCATATTATTGTGACGATATTTAGAGCATTTAATTACTGTTGTATTGTTTGTAGCATTTAATAACCCTGCGGGCAAATGCTTGCAATGTTGTTGACTTTGACTTTTCATCGTCGATATTATTACTATGTAACAGAGAGTAGAGAGATATCGTTTGTTTTATGCAAATTTTTTTACCGTGAAAAAATTAATTACACTTTTATTAAATAAAATTTCTTCTTTAATGAAGCTTACAGGAGGTACTTGGGAATTGGGCGAGATACTATGTGACTCATGGGTGTCCCTTGATATTCTACTCTGCACAGCTAGTATTCTCTCGTTATGCGCCATATCTATAGACAGGTAAATTTGGTAGTGAATTTTGGTATGAATTTTCAAATCTCATCACGTAGATAGCGATATTATTGGAGAATACCTTTAGCCGTATTACCTTTTGTGAATAGATTTTCACGTCATTAGAAAATAAAATTTCACGTATAAATTCTCCAACATTCACGCTTTACGAGTTTTCATGCGAGAAAACGATGATGGGAGCAAACGAATCTTTTGGTTGATAGAAAATTTGTTCCAGTAATTTATTATACTTTTATTATACTTTTGTTAGTTTATCGTTATAACCAAACAAGTCAATATTGCTCGTTGAAAATGATTATCCTCTTATATCCTTTTATCATTTTCTATTTTCTTTATATTTTTTATAGTTATATGCTCTTTTTTAATAGATATTATATTTGATATTTTGATAGATATAACATTTAAAATATAATAATATATACATACATATATGTGTATAACTATGTATTATTTTATTTTTTGTATCATATTGCAAGATAATGAAAAATAGATTTAATATGAAAGTTTACAATTAAATCAAATTTTTAGAAGTAAAGGAATTACTTAGAATTGAAGTTTTCTTAGTTTTTTCTGCAGCTTTTACTTTAACTTTGAGTTAATTCTTGTATTATATTTTGTGCATGATGAGATACTTCTAACTTTATATGTATATTACTTTAATGGTTACAGACTAAGTAATTTGTTCAAGAAGTTAAAATTACCATACGCAATTAAAATTGCATTTCTCAGAAATATAATTTTGAATACGCGTTTCTTTTTTCTGCAATATAACTTTGGAAATACAATGCTCCAAAATGCTATAAGAATTCTGCTCCAAAAATTCTAGAACAACAGAATAATTCATTCGACACATCGTTAATAAATCATATCTTTTTTAATATTTACGATATTACATTTCCGTGTATTTTTGATCATTCAACATAGATATCTGTTAATAAAATTATGCGAAATCCATCACGTCATATTCTTTGTTCAAGGTATTTGGCCGTAACTCAGCCATTGATATATAGCCGTAGACGCAGGAGTAAAAGACTGGCCGGAGTAATGATCGTGGCGGTATGGATAATGGCCGGTGCCATAACAAGCCCACCTTTATTAGGTTGTTTTCCACGTGCAACGAATCGTGATGTCAAAAAGTGCTCCTACAATATGGACTCCTCGTACGTGATATTTTCAGCGATGGGCAGTTTCTTCTTGCCCATGCTGGTAATGCTATATGTATACGGCAGAATTTCGTGCGTCATAGCGAGCAGACATAGAAATTTGGAGACCAGCAACGAGGTGGAAAATGTTCGTTCACGTCGTAAAATCACGGTGAGAATTACATGATTTAGTCTTTCCTATAGACGCGATCGAAAATCATCAGTGTATGACCAGTGATATTTCTTGTTATGTGTAATAGCTTTTTATTAAATATATTTAATTTGATAAAATCTAATACAGTGGCATCGTATTTTTTATTTGAATAAATAAATTTTTATAATTAAAATAGTGAAATTCATCTGGAATTAATATTTTATGCGAAATATCGTGATACGATTGATTATGTTTATCTTATGTTCCTCTTACTTTTTACAATTTTGTAAACAATAGTATTATTATTTATTTGAATGAGAAAATTGAATTCTATTATTATATAACAAAAATTTTTTGATATAATATTGATAAGATTAAATTAAATTTTCCTATGTTTACACCTGCCTATGCATTAATCTTTCTAATATTATGCTTTGTTTGTTGGTTCGATGGATGATATTGCAGGCTCATTCTGACGGCAAGATATTAATCATTCATTGCTGAGATTCTGTTCAATCAATATTTGAGTTTATTATATACCTTCGAAAGATAAGTGAATAAAATAAAACTTTTAAAATATAAGAGTAAAGATTTGAATTATTATATATTAAAAATATATAATATTTAAACAATATTAAATATTCATTGAAATCTACATATACACGTAATATGAAAATTTGTATGCATAGTCTATTTATGTGTTCCATGCATAATTGAAAAGAAACTTTCTTTGTTTCTTGAAAAAACTCTTAATTATCTGAAATGTTTTTTCGTTCTTGAGAAATATCTTTCTACGATGTTCATTTTATAGATAAAATATGATGTCTTTTCATTTCTATAATTAAATTTTAAAAAGAATACTGCAGCGTTTGTACAGAAATAGGATAAAAAGACAGCAAAATGAAAAATAGACTAAAGTGCTTGCTATGACAAATGTAGCAGCAGAGAGTTAAACGTGAATACGAAAACGACAAATTTGTTGAGTTATGAGTTTGTTCCAAATTTAAAGCTCACTTTTAATCAGAAAAAAATCATTGCAGAAAGAAGATTTAGCTTGCTTTTAATGCAAAAGATATCGTGATTTGTGCAATGACAATATCATTCTCACAATTTAATTGAAAAAAAGATTAGAGAAATCAATTGCTCTTTCACGCAAGCGATAGAGTGGTCCATGCTTTAAAAAAAATGCGAGACGCGGATTTCACACATTATCCGATCTTATGCAATTAATATATTATAAATTATTTTATACAACATATCTCATCTGGATTTCATCGTCGGACTTGATTTATAACGATCTATAAAATTTCTTTACAAACAAATACCTATCATTATTTTCATAGAAAATATATAAAGAGATATATAAAGATTATACATAAAATCTTATTGTTACGTTGATAATAAAATCATTAAAAATATACAATTGGATCATGTGATATTATTTATATTTAAATTTTACTATTATCTTTTCCTATTTTATAAACACGAATATACATAAGAATATATTTAATTTATGTAGTATTTCTAACTTTTTTATTATTGTTTAAATAATAAAGAAATTAATTAATATTAGCGATATATATATATATATATAAGATATTTTAATAAAAAAATTTATTTATAATAATATTTTTGAGTGAATACTTGACAGCTTAATAAAAAGTTTTAATTACAATAAAAAGGGAATTAAAATCTTTTGTATATAATTATAAAATATTGATATAATTTGTGTAACTTCAATACGGGACAAAATTCATACATTCAAATATATACCTTTATTTAAACGCCAATAAATTTTTAAATATTATCTTGTTTGTTTTATTCAAGCAATTATTGTTAAAATAATTAATAAGAATTATATGTATATATCTTTTAGGAAATATATAATTTATCAAATAAATTTTGAAAAGTAAAATAATATAATATTATGAAAAATTACTTTGATGCTTTTGTGTGTGTAAAATTGCTTATTCTCTCTTCCTCCGCTCTCTCTCTCTCTCTCTCTTATAGTTCTCTTAATTCAAAAAGAATTTGATTATGTCTGAAGTAAATATTGAAATTGATTTAATATAAAATTATATTTTTGTTATATGTATATGTATTATATGTATATTATATGTATTATATGTTATATGTATTTATATAGCAATATTTAAAATTTCGAGATATTACTTTTATATTTATTATTTTATTAAATAGAAAATAAGAAATTAATATACAAAAATATATGTTTTCTATGAAAGCATATTAAATTCAAAAATTGATATTGATTGTTATATTGATAACATTTTGTATAAATTAATTATATTTACTGTTGTTTATATTTTCAATACATATATAAAGTTATCTATAGGTTTTGTAATTATTAAATTATTAGAAAATTTTCTTCTTGCGTGATATTTTTGTAAAAAAATTAATATTTTATTATATAATATAATATTTCTGATTTATAATTAATTTTTTCCTAATCTATATAAAATTTAAAAGACAAGAGATAGCAAATTTTGTAAACATTAATGGAACAACATATCAAGCAAAGCGTAATGATAGTTTTCTTATCTCCAGTGAAATGATAATTCTGCTATTAAGTATTTAAGTCGTCTAAACGATAAAGCTAACTTATATGATTTTGCTAGTCATTTTGAAAAATTTGCATATATTTACTTTAAATATTTACTTAAAATAAAATATGTTGTAATTAATATATATATATATATATATATATATATATATAGATTAGAAAAAAATATAAATATAATAATTAGTTACATACAAGTGTATGTGCGGAATTCTCGGAATTATTTTTTAATAGCTTGATCGTGGGAAGAGTATTAAAGTGCAACGTACGGATTGTGCCGAGAGAAACGAGACTTGTAGCAAGCCATCCGAAGAAACCGAACCAACGAGCATGTGTAAAAAGTTGGGCACAATTCGAGGAAATCAACAGAGCTGCATTAACAAAGTCGCTAGGGAAACGAAAACTGCGGGTACCCTGGCCGTAGTCGTGGGTGGTTTTGTTGCATGCTGGCTGCCATTTTTTATTCTATATCTGGCAACACCTTTTATACCTGTGCAGCCGCCGGATATTCTTATGCAAGCTTTGACGTGGCTAGGTAATTTCTTTTTTTACACATACATACATACATATATATATATATATATATATATATATATATATTTATATATATATAAAATATATATACATCAAATAAAAAAAACAAACATACTTCAAAATATCTATCTATATAGCTATCTATATATCTCTATATATGTATATATATATATATATATATATATATATATATATATAGATAGATAGATAGATAGATATATAGATAGATATTTTAAAGTATGTTTGTTTTTTTTTTATTTTATGTAAATCTCTCTTGACAGATTTAAATTCATGTAAGACTTAGTAAATTATATGTTTTACGTCTAAATCATATGTACATCTAAATCATATGTTTTTAATAACAATCACATTTTTCACATTAAATTTTTTTTTTATATAAAAAGAATAAATTTTTTTTTATATTTAAATCATACATTAAAATTAAGAGAACAGTTTTTATACGTATTAGTTTTTTTAAAATTGAAGTCGGAAATGGATATAAATTGAATAAAATCTAACACAATTTCATTTATGTTATGTTTGTATTTTTAGGTTTTAATTTATTTCTGTAATTTTTAACTTTTGAAATCATAATATAAATCATAATATAACAGCAATCAGTTGATAATTATTATTCTAATATTTTTATGGGAAATAAAATGATTGGAAGTGATTTTATATGTTTAGGGTGGATCAATTCGGCTATCAACCCGTTCATTTACGCTTTCTATTCAGCAGACTTCAGGCTCGCTTTCTGGCGACTAACATGTCGGAAATGTTCAAAGAGTAGACTAAACTTGGATGGTATGAATCGGAAATTACCCGCTCCAGTTAACTGGAAGAAAGATACGTCGAGAACGTGAAGATCTCCGCACAAGAGTTTCAAACTTGTTCAATTATGTGGCATCTCCGGTATTAGAATGACTATGGTTGAGTTGCGTTTATTCATAATCGCGATACACTAATGAAGAATGACGTGTATCAAGATTAAACGTGTATAATTTCAAGTATGTATGTGCTTATAATCAATAGCTATTATGTGATTTTATAAAGTATAAATGTTTCACTACGCACAATACATTAGAATACATATTGAAATAGTTATTCTCAAAAGTCATATAGATATATGTATATAAGTTATTCTTTTTGTGTATGCAATATAATTAGTCTTCATAGTTTTGTTCAATGTCTATTCATATTGGAATAATTTTGTGTGATTATGTTTAATTATAAATTAAATTTTAAAAAAAATTTAATTTATTTAATTAATTTTATACATATGTATCAGAAAGTAAAATATTAATATATTATAAAATGTATTTTTTAATATGTCCATCATTTAATTTTTTGTTCTCCTCTTTATTAAAGATTTTTTAATATTGCGTATATACAATTTATTGACTGACATATATTTGTTGAGTGATTTAAATTAAATGCACGTGAATATAAGTTAAAATGCAGTAAATTCGTAGCATGTAGCAGATTCTCTTAACGAAAACATTTTAAAATAAAAATAGGAAATATACATGAAATGAATATAATATAATGAGATTAATTTCGCAAGAAAAACAATGTACAATGGATTATACAATTATATGTACGACTGATAGCTATATACTTAATCTGTGATTGATATCGATGTCGCGTCATCTTGTTGCATTTATTCCTGAAATCTATTTACACACGGAATAAAAGATTGAAAATTTTCTTCTTCCAGTTTCTCTTCATATCAACGTGTATATGACATTTTTACGTACATTTTACATCCTTTTCCAGGAAAGCTTGCTACATGCATCGAATTTTTAATAATAATTTTATACCGCAAAATGTGTGCAAAATTATTTTAAAATATTTATATATTTTATTTTATTTATAATATTTTATTTATATTTATTTATATAGATTACATATATAAGAAAATAATAGCAGGACATTATATATACGTATTAAAATTACAAGTTTATAAATTATGTAAAAGTAAAAAATTATTTATAGATAGATACCAACTTAAATAACCAAAAAGTTATTTATAAATAGTTTAGGGAATATTAAATTATTTTTTAGAATTATATAAAAAATATCTAATACTATTCATTAAATTACGAATGAAAACTTTTACGCATATTTAAGTGAGAAAGATATTAGTTAACTGAGAGAATATTGATATACGTAAATTTCATATGTTATTAAAATTCATCAACATTCTAATTAAAGACTGTAAGTAGATATTCTACATAATGTATTTTAGAAAATAGGGAACTCTTTGATGAGGAATATATAATCTATTTTTAATCTGTTATTAAAAATAGAACTGGGTATAATATTTTATATATTTTCTAAATTTTATTTCCTATTGCGCAATTAATTTTTTAAATTCTTTTCTATATATTATTGCTAAACGTATCATTTATTCTAGTCAGAAAAAGGTTTTATATTACATAAGTCGAAGACGCATAAGTATATAATTAATAAGCCAAAATTAATAAATGATTTATTATAATTTTCAATAATTCAGTATATATTTTGCTTTATTATATTGATATTTTTATAATAGTAATTAAAATAAATGCATATAAGTGTGTGAATTTGATGCACTAACAAACAAAATAACTTATTTACATATTGGTTGTATGTATTTAAATAATTAATATATAATTCTGAAGAATACTGTATAAATTATGAAAATATTATATTTTATAACTTGCATTTATGAATTAATTTATAATTTATATATAAAATATAAATAAATATTATTAAGTATAAATATAAATATTTTAAATTTTAAAATGTACATTTGTAACATATATGATAATGCAACAGTTATTAATTTATGTGCAGATTATTAATAAAAATATATACTTTATACGTAATTACATATAATTAGAATCTTTTGAACAATGTTATATTCGTGAGAATCAATAATTGAGAATTAATTGCTATTATTAAAATCGCAATATTTACTAACATTGCAATATTTTTGATTAATACATTTAATAGTTATATTTTATTCATTATTTCATAATGCCATCAATTAAATAAGTAGTTATATATAATATGTATAATAAATACATTAAAAAATGTTCTAGTGTCACATTTACCTAATCTGTTATTTTTATTTTATTATAATGTATTGGAAAATGTCTATATAAAATATAAATATAAATCTCTATTATATCTTTATGTTAAATATAATTTTTATTGTGAGTAGAAAAATTATTCACGGCTGTATTTTTTCATTTACAATTTTTCGATTAATATTCTTGTTTTGCTTTTCTAAAATATTTCAAACATTGATAAAACAATATCAACAATGCTATGAAGCTAATAATAACAGGCGTATTGGCTTAATTTCTTACAAATATTGCAGTTTTTAATTTATAGATATAATAATTTTTATATGTTTAGGATTTTCATATGTTAAAGTAAAATGAGATACAAAAAGTTTAAAAAAATTAGTCATTATAAACTATATGTTTAAATATGGATACAGATGTGTATTTCAAATAACGCGAATAACAACAATTACATAAGTATAAGAAATACAAATATAATTCACAAATCTATGCATTTAATTAATCTTACAATTTATATTTTAAGATAAAAATACAGACTTATATCATAAGAAATAATCTTAATGTGACATGCATTACATATGATTACGTATTCTTATTAATCTGTGAAAACAATAATTATAAAACAGAAATCATAATAATATAATATAATTATAAAAAGAGAAATAAAAAAGAAGATATATACTCTCTCTTCAATTATATTTTCATGTATTTATATAATTGTCTTCTTATTTAAATAATTGATTTATATGATATAAATTTTAAAAACATGTACTAATTTTTTTTAATAATTTTAATTTTAAGATAATCAGCATTTTTATTTTATTAAATTATAATATACACATGAAATTCTGTTTTATATAAAAAGTTAAAAAATAATTCCAGAAAATCCAATTATTGTTAATTGTATTTACTGTTCATGCTCATGATCATGTTCATGATCATGTTCATGATCATGTTCATGATCATGTTCATGAACATGATGATGTTCATGTCCCTCGTGATCTCCATGTTCTTTTTGAGACAGAAACCTTTCTTTAGCTTTGAAGTAACACGTCACTAGACCAAAACTTTTTTCGCATTTATCTGTAATATCTTTTACTACAACACAAAAAAATTAGTAAAAGAGAGGAAAAAGTAAAATATATATTGTAAAATATAAAGTATTATATACATTTAAGTATTAGATGCATGTTATGCATTTTTTGCTAGAACATTAAATTAGCAAAATGTAAATTAATTAACCTATTCTGTTTCTGAATTTATATAATGAATAATATTATAAATATTTTTCTTTAACGTAGCCAATAACTTTATTTTTATTACAAAATTAGAATATACATATAATATTGCTTTACCTTCTTTTATGCAATCATCCAGAGCTTTGTAAAGAATGTGTCCTGGTTGGATATTTGTTTTTTCAGTAAACTTAGTATGTATTGTTTCTAGGTTTAATTCCGATTCTCCTATCTAACATTATTTAAAAAATATAAATGAGAAGATTAAAGTATCAATAAAAATTAATCTTTTTCTTAATGTTCAAGTAAAACATGAAAAGTCGTCCTAAAAGTCTCAGTTTATTATTATTTGAACATTATTTATTGAACGTACTATATAATTTCTAGATAAAGTTAATAATTAATATACTGACTTAAAAAAATAAAAATATTATAAGATTATTAAATAAAAATATTATAAGATTATTACATTTATATATTTAATAATTTTTTATTATTTAAAAATATAGTTTGCAATTTTGAACATCATATGTTATAAAAAACTATCTCAAAAAACTTACCATATTCTCTTTTTGAAACATGCAATAGATTAAGCAACTATTCTTTCTTAGTTTTTCTTGATTTTCGGATTGTTTATGCCTCTCCTGTATTAGATCTCCTAGTGTGAATATATCATCTGTAAAACAAACATTCTAGTAATTAAAAAAATATATATTATCCATTATATATTATAATATCTATACAATAACTATAATTTGCTATGCATTTTATAAAAGATTTAAATATTTAAATAAAAAAATATCTAAAACATAATACGTATTTTTAATATTATATGTATTAGTATATAGTATTATATACTATTAGTATAGAGTAATTAGTATAGAGTATTAGTATATAGTATTATATATATATATATATATATATATATATATATATATATATATATTATTTTAACAGAATTTGGATTTCGAAATGCAAATAACTGCGCTTTTTTATTGAATTTTTAATAAACATTAAAGGAAAGTTTTTAAATAATATTTTAATATATATGAAAGAGTAAATCTTGGTTATATATTAAAAATTGTGTGAGAGATTAAATATAAAAATAAAATTTATTTTAAAAATTCGTTGGCTTAATCACACAATTCCTAAAAATGCAAGTTGAAAGAGAGAGAAAGAGAGAGGGGGGGGGAAAGAGAGAAAGGGGAAGGAGAGAGAGAGAGAGAGAATAATAAAGTGTTGTATAAATTAATAACTTACTATCAGTGGTACCGGTTTCAATCAGGCAAGTATTGTAGTAGTTTTGGTCGGATGCTAGTTTCTTATTCACATCTAAAACTCTAGCTAAGATAGCAGGCTAAAATATGTGCAATTATATTTTGTATTATTTTCATTAATTTTACCTTCTTATTCTACATTATTCTACATTATTTAATTATAGTATATTAATTATAATCTAGTATATTTATATATTAATTTTAATTTTAATTAAAAGTTCCCATTTACTTTAAAAATATTTTTAAAAAATCTTTTTTACTTTTAACACTTTCTTTTATAACAAAATAAGATATTTACAATGAATGCGAAAACGATAATGTAAAATCCACGCGTCATCTTGCTTATATAATTACTCTGTATCTAATTACACTTGTTCAAGTACTGTGCGGAGCATAACAGCATCATTATATTTATAGGCTGCAAATATAAAATGCGTAGATAAAATCGCCGAGGTCATACATTATATAAGCATAAAACATATGATGTAGAAGAAAACATATTGATAACATATTTTTCCGACTGGTGTAGATATGATATAGTAGAATATGACATGACATATACATACATGTTATCAAAGGTCAATGTACGGTCACTTCTTACTTTGACTAGTCGATCTTGAGAATTGACTAAGTCCCTTAGTCAATCTTCGAAATATTTTTATATTTTGGCCTTTGACCAGGACGTTTTCTGTTGATTCTAGAATAAATTAGCCTGGTAAAGGAAGAAAATAAAAAAATATTTTGGATCTTGCCTGTCAATCCTAAGTATGCTTTTATTCGGAATTTGATTAATAAAAAAAATTATATTTCTGATTATTATTTTTATCTTTTTCTTTGTTTACTTAATAAATAGTTACAATTTTCGTTCTTGAATTTTCAACTACCGACAAAACGATTATATTTCTTTTATTTTCGATAATATAAAAAGTAAGTAACTTGTAAAACTAATGGACAGGCTTATTATTAAGTAATCTTTTGATACATATCTTATTAATATCTAGTAAGTAACTAGTAAATAACTAGTAATACTAGCTAATATCTAGTAACTAATATTAGCTAATATCTTATTAACAACCTTTACGTCTTATTAACAGCCTTTATATTTATTAACAAAAACTTTGTAGTAATAATTGAAATCACATCAAATAAAGTAATTATAAATAATAAAATTAATTAAAATAATAAAATTAAAATAAACATATTTTTATTAAATGAAATTTAGATATCTTTTAAAAAAAACGTATTAAAATGATATACTGATATAAAAAAGACATAACATGTACGACAAACAAGATATCACGATTTGTCTACCTTATTCCAATTTCACCTAAACTAGTCAAAGGATGAATTGGATTATTTTAATTTCTATCTTTGACCGGCCTGTTTATTCTTTCCTAGGATTGACTAAAAACATATCAATCAAAGGTCAAAATTTAAATCTAATTCGGATTTTGACCAAAGCCGTTGGTCGGATTGACTAGTTATTAGTTTAGTTATTCCAAGAAGGACTGTGTTTCGCGAGTTTTACCTATACATATATACAGGGTGTATCTGAAATGATGCACTAAACTTTAAGACCGTATTCTAGAGGTCAAAATAAGATTACTTTTTTTCTTATGAACATGGGTCCGCAAATTAACTCCCCTCCCAGCTAAAATTCGAAAATGTGTGAAATTAACCAAACATCCGTAACGCAAATTTATTTATCTCTCAAAAGAGAGTAATAGGTAACGTCAAAACCTTTTTTTTCTGAAATACAGCCAATTTTTAATTTTTTCCCTAAACTTTAGGGACTTCTAGCTCGGAGGGGGTTTATTTGCGGACCCATGTTCATAGGAAAAAAAAGTCTTATTTTGAATAAGACCTCTAGAATACGCTCTTAAAGTTTAGTACATCATTTCAGATACACTATATATATATATATATATATATATATATATACATATATATATATAAAATATATGTATATATATATATATGTATATAAAGTACAAATTATTTTATTTTTGTATTTAAAAAAGAGGGCGAAAAAGAGAAAATTATTTTTTATTCTTTTTATATTTAAAAAGAGAGAGAGAGAGAAAGAGAGATAATTATTCGATTCAAATATTTTATACATTTTTTAAATAATATAAATTAAAATTGAATGAATTTGGATTGATAGAGTTAATCTAAACGGATAAACACTCTATTTGCATGTTTTTTTTAAAGAAAATAATTATAATTTTTTTTTAATATTTGGTATTTTGAAACAGTTTGTGCGTTAATGCAGCAATCTTGCAGTAATTTATTCTAGGAAAATAAAAATGTAGTAAACAATAATGTGATAAAAGAAACATGAGATTTTTGCAATATTAATTAGGGGAATTGTGAAGAGATTATATTATTATACACACACGCAAATTACATATACTAAAATACACAAATACATACAGTTCTATCATTCCAAATTTAAATGTATCATTACGTCTCAATAAAAATATCTAGGATATAATAGTTTCTAGAAACTGAAAGACATTTTTATTCGCGTTTTCCTTTATTTTCTTGTGTGATGAAGTTTATCAGTACTATTAATGGGTTCAATCATGTCAAGATTATCTATTCGTGTTATCAGCACAAAAATTCAATAATTAGAAGTATAAAATTTAAACAATAATTATCTAGCTCTAAAATATATTACATTTGCTTTCTTATCTTTTATATAATATGTATCGACAAATGCAACTTAACTTAATTAAAATATTAACTTAAAGGAATTTTTGAAAAATGTTGAATTTCTTCTAATTAAATCTCTTATGGTTAAGTTTTCTACAGAAATACACGGTTTTAAATCATCAAAAGTATTAGAATTTTATTCATGAAATTGTTGTTAATTTTAAACAACTTCATATAAAAACTGATTTTTAAATATTTTTATTGTTATTCATTTATTTATGAAATTTAAAATATTAGAAAAAGTAATATTGTTTTTATATTTGTTGCTATTTTATTGAGGAGGGCTTCAGATGCCTACATTGCCGATTTTACCAACTGCTTCGTTTTCGCACAACATTTTGCAGCTTTTTTGTCAACATTCCCGATTGCCTACACCCCCATTGCCTACATGTATTATTGCACACAGGAAAAAATAAAGAAACGAAAGTACGATTGTACACATGACATTATTGCGCACATATTGCACACATAACATTATTACACACATACACATTACATACATGACATTGCTCACATGCACATTGCACACATAACATTATTGCACACATATAATAAGAAAATGACTTTGCATAATTAGAATCCACGATTAAAAGTGCAGACTGATACTGGATTGCTTACACAATCCCATCTTAAAATCTTTAATCAATTTGATGATAAGATTTCCGTATGCGTCCCATTTTCGAATTCGATGAACTTTTACAAGCATATAGTACTAAATAAAGTCGAATGTTATAAGAGCGAATGTGCAGAAACGTTTATTTTTGATATTTTAATTTTAATTATCTTCTTAAATAAATAATATTTAAGATTTCCATATAAAAAGAAATATTAGAATTCAAAAATATTTTGGACTTAGGACTATACTTAAGAAATAGAAATGAATCTCGCTTCGCGTGAAAGTCAATAACTCATGTGAAACAGAACAATTATAGATTTCATTTCAGGCCGCATTATGTTCAATGACCCACTAAGTTCTCCAAAGAACCGACTTTGCGCTTACAATCGAAAAATTCAACATAATATAAATAACATAAAAAAGTATAAAAATAATAAAAATTTGAATATCTTAAGAACAAAACGTTTCTGCCTATTAGCCTTTGACTTTATTTAGTACTGTATGTCCGTAAAAATTGATCAAATTTGGAGATGAGTCGCATACGAAAATCTTACCCAAAGCATTTAATTATATTTTTATTTTTTACATGAAATAATGTCATGTGTGTAATCGTACTTTCGTATTTTTATTTTTATTTGTGTGTGCAATAATATATGCATGCAATCGGGATGTAGGCAATCAGAAATGTTGACAAAAGAAGCTGTTGGCAAAATCTTGTGCGCAAACGAAGCAATTGGCAATCGGAAAGGTAATAATAAAACGGGACTTCTCCTACATACGCATGAATATTACATAAATATATTTTATTAATTAAAAAATTTTGTTTTATATAAAAAATAAAAAAATAATTCTAGAAGATTCCGAATTATTGTTAATTGTATTTATTGATGTTCATGTTCATGATGGTGTTCATGTCCCTTATGATTTCCATGTTTTCCTTAAGAAAGAAGTCTTTCGTTCTTTGAAGAAACACATCGTTAGAGCAAAACTTTTTTTGCATTTATCTCCAATATCTTTTACTACAACACAAAAAGAATTAATAAAAGTGAGGAAAAAGTAAAATATATACAGGGTGACCCATTTTAACTTAGGCAGCCAAATAACTCGAAAAATAAGCACACTACGAAAAAATGGTTAGAATCAAAATTTCGTCATTTCGAGGGGGACGTACAATGACGTTAAAATCAGCCCCCCCACCCCTCCCCCTGGGCGGTGAGGGGGGGCAAGTTTGAAATCTTAAATGGGAACCCCTATTTTTGATTGTATATTCTTATAGCTGACCTCGAGAGCTTTCCAAAACACTATAATAATATTTTTCCCTCAAGCATTTATCGAGTTATGAGGCTTCAAATCATTTCTTAATTTTACATAAACCGTAAAATATCTTGTAAAATATTCACTTTTCGATTATTTTACCTTAATACTTTTATGTACAAAATAATGAGAGGAATCAATTGGCGTAAAGAAAACATATAGTTGTTTTTAAGAAAAAATATGTAATTTGCAATTAACAATTCCATATTTTTTCTTAAAAACAACTGTATGTTTTCTTTACACCAATTGATTCCTCTCATTATTTTGTACATAAAAGTATTAAGGTAAAATAATCGAAAAATGAATATTTTACAAGATATTTTACGGTTTATGTAAAATTAAGAAATGATTTGAAGCCTCATAACTCGATAAATGCTTGAGGGAAAAATATTTTATTATAGTGTTTTGGAAAGCTCTCGAGGACAGCTATAAGAATATACAATCAAAAATAGGGGTTCCCATTTAAGATTTCAAACTTGCCCCCCCTCACCGCCCAGGGGGAGGGGTGGGGGGGCTGATTTTAACGTCATTGTACGTCCCCCTCGAAATGACGAAATTTTGATTCTAACCATTTTTTCGTAGTGTGCTTATTTTTCGAGTTATTTGGCTGCCTAAGTTAAAATGGGTCACCCTGTATAAATATAAAGTATCATATACATTTAATTTAAATATTATATCCATATTATGCATTTTTTGCTACAACATTAAATTAGCAAAATGTAAATTAATTAACCTATTCTGTTTATAAATTTATATAATGAACAATATTATAAATTTTCCTTAACGTAACCTAAATAATTTTATTTTCATTGTAAAAATTAGAATATGCATATAATATTATTTTATCTTCTTTTATCCAATCATTCAGAGCTTTGTAAAGAATGTTCTGGTTGGATACTTGTCATTTCAGTAAACTTAGTATGTAATGTCTCTTGTTTGAATTCCGATTATTTTATCTAACATTATTTAAAAAATATAAATGAGGAGATTAAAGTATCGATAAAAATTGATTATCTTTAAAAATACAAAAATTTTACTTTACATTATGTTTAAAGTAAACCATATTTTTACATCAATATAAAATATGATATATAATTATATTATTAGACTATATAGCATATTATTAGAATATTAATTAATGTTATTAATGTTATTAATTAATGTTATTATTAATGTTCAAATGAAACATGAATTAAAAGTTGTTCTAAAAATCTTAGTTTATGTTATTCTTTTAACTTTATGTTATTCTTTTACTTATTGGACGTACTATAATTTCTAGATAAAATTAATAATTAATGTGCTGACTTTAAAAAAATAAAAATATTATAAGATTATTACATTTATGTATTTAATATTTAATAATTTTTTTGTTATCTAAAAATATAGTTTGCAATTTTGAACATCACGTGTTATACAAAATTATCTCAAAAAAACTTACCACATTCTCTTTTTGTAATATGCAATAGACAACACAACTATTTTTTCTTAGTTTTTCTTGATTTTCAGATTGTTTATGCCTATCATGTATTAGATCTCCTATTGTGAACATATCATCTGTAAAATAAATATTCTAATATTTAAAAAAATATATAATATCCATTATATATTATAATCTATACAATAACTATAATTTTCTATTCATTTTATGAAAGATTTAAATATTTAAATAAAATATATCTAAAACATAATATGTATTATTTACGTATTAACAATAATACGTATATTTTAATATTATATATATACTAGTATATAATATATAATATTGTATATATCTATATCTATATATATATATATATATACAGGATGGAGCATCTAAAACAGGTCACCTAAATAACTCAGCTGCTTTCGATGAGGTAGAAAAAAATGCTTTAGACCACATTTGCTTGGGTTTACGAGAACTATAATCTAAGATGGTTTTTTTTGTAGGTGAAAGGGTGGAGAAGGTCTACGAAGGTCAACTTTGATTTTTTAAATGGAACCGCCTACTTTTTATTGCATATTCTTGCAGCTGATCTTCGAGAGCTTTTCAAAATACTATAATTAAGTTAATTTTCATTAAGTACTTTCCGAATTATGAGCTTGAAATCATTTCTTAATTTTACATAAACCGTAAAATATCTTGTAAAATATTCATTTTTTGATTATCTTACTTTAATACTTTTATGTATAAAATAATGAGAGAAATCAATTGGTGTAAAGAAAACATATAATTAGTTTTAAGAAAAAATATGTTAATTGTTAATTGCAAATTACATATTTTTTCTTCGAAATAACTATGTGTTTTCATTATATTAAATTTTATATTAGATTATAGTTCTCGTAAAACCAAGCAAATGTGATCTGAAGCATTCTTTTCTATCACCGAAAGCAGCCGAGTTATTCAGGTGGTCTGTTTTAGATGCTCCACCCTGTATATTATTTTAATAGAATTTATAGATTTCGATGTGGAAATAAGTAACACTTTTCTTATTTAATTTTTAATAAACATTAAAAGAAATTTTATTTAAATAAAATTTTAATATATATGAAATAGTGATCTTCGAATCTTATGATAGATATTAAAAATTAGGTAAGAGATTAAACATATAATAAAAGAAATATTTTTAAAAATCGTTGGCTTAGTCATACAATTCCTAAAAACACAAATTGAGAGAGAAAGAGAAAGAATAATAACATCTTAATATAAATTAAGTCATGTATAAATTAATAACTTACTTATGGTATCAGTTTCAATCAGGCAAGTGTTGTAGTAGTTTTGTTAGATCGGATGCTAGTTTGTCGTCCATTTTAAAATCTTTAGTTAATATAGCAGGCTAAAATATGTGCAATTATATTTTGTATTATTTTAATTAATTTTGTCTTCTTTTTCTACATTATAGTAGTTAATTATAATTTAGTATATTTATATATTAATTTTAATTAAAAGTTTCAATTTATTTTAAAAATATTTTTTAAAAATCTTTTTTTTACTTTTAACTCTTTCTTTTATAGCAAAATAAGATATTTACAATAAATGCGAAAATGATAATGTAGAATCCGCGCGCCATCTTGCTTATATGAATGCTCTGTTTCTAATTATTATACTTGTTTAAGTACTGTGCGAAGCATAACAGCATCATTGTATTTATATCGGCTGCAAATATAAAATACATAGATAAAATCGAGGTCATACATTATATAAGCATAAAATATATGATGTGTAGAAGAAAGTATATTGATAATTTACTTTTTCTTACAGTTGCAAATATGATATACTAGAATATGACATGACATATACATACATGTTATGGTCAAAGGTCGTAACACGATCACTTTGAGTCGATTCTGAGGATTGACTAAGTTTCAATCTTCGAAACATTTTTATATTTTAGCCTTTAACTAGGCCGTTTTTGTCGATTCTATGATAAACTAGCATACCTGATCAAAGGCATGCTTTTATTCGGAGTTTGATTAATAAAAAAAAATTATATTTCTGATTACTTTTATCTTTTTTTTATTTACATAATAAATTGTTACAATTTTCGTACTTGAATTCAAATATCAAAAAAAACGCTTATATTTCTTTTATTTTCGATATAAAATAATATAAAAGGTAAGTAACTTGTAATAGACTTTTAAAAAGAGGTATTAAATAATCTTTTGGTACATTCTAATATCTTATCAATTTTTACATTTATTAACAAAAACTTCGTAGTAATAATTGAAATCATATTAAATAAAGTAATTAAAAACATTAAAATAAACAAATTTTTATTTAATAAAATATAAGTATCTTTTAAAAAAACGTATTAAAATAATATACTGATATAAAAAGAACATAATATGTACGACAAACAAGATGCACATCACGATTTGTCTATCTCATTCATGCAGTCATATCTAAACTAGTCAAAGGAACTGGATTATTTTAGTTTCTATCTTTAACCGGCCTGTTTATTTTCTCCTAGAGAGATTAAAAACACATTAATCAATGGTCAAAATTTAAATCTATTTCGGATTTTGATCCAAGCAATTGGTAAATCTACGGATTGACTAGTTATTCCTAGGAAGGACCGCGTTTCGCGAGCTTTAATCATATCACATACACACACACACACACACACACACACACACACACACACACACACACACACACACACACACACACACACACACACATATATATGTATGTATGTATATATGTATACAATTTTTTTATATATACATATTTGTATTTTTATTATCTTGATGTCTATTTTTGTGTTAAATTTTAATAAATTATAGCTTTCTATTCAATAAATTTCATTTAGCTTTCTGATACGTTGGAAATGTTTGAAGAATAGATTAAATTCTTGGATGACACATATCGGAAATTACCTGTTCCAATTAACGGGTAACAAAGATGCATCTGAAACTTTCATGTACATGAGTTTCGAACTTGTCCAATTATGCCGTCATCAAAATTACATTTGTGATCAACTTACATTTTCTTGTTGTCCATAAACTTTATTAAAGGATGATATATATATATATATATGTGTGTGTGTGTGTGTGTGTGTGTGTGTGTGTGTGTGTGTGTGTGTGTGTGTGGTGTGTGTGTGTGTGTGTGTGTGTGTGTGTGTGTGTGTGTGTGTGTGTGTGTGTGTGTGTGTGTGTGTGTGTGTGTATATAAAATATTTGTTCGATTTATAAAGAAATAGCACAAGTTATTTTATGATTATTTTTGTACTCAAAAAGGAGAGAGAAAGAGAGAGAATTCTATTTAAATATTTTATATATTTTTTTAATAAAGTTGAGTTAAAATTGAATGAATTTGGATTAATATAATTAATATAATTAATCCAAATAGATAAACATTCTATTTACATGTTTTTTTCAAGAAGGTAATTATAAATCTTTTTTCTTTTGGAAAAATATTTAGTATTTTGAAATATTTTATGCTTTAACGTTAATGCAGTAATCTTGCAGTAATTTACTCTAGGAAAACAAAAATGTAATAAACAATAATGTGATAAAATAGATATGGAATTTTTCCAATATTAATTAAAGAAATTGAAGAGATTATATTATTATATACACACACACAAATTACATGTACTAAAATACACGAATACATACAGTTTTATCATTCCAAAGTTAAATATATCATTGAGCATAAAAAAAATCTCTAAAACATAATAGTTTCTGAAACTAAAAGACATATTTTAAAAGAAAATCTAGAAACTGAAAGACATATTTTATTCCTTTTCCCTTTTTACTTCTTGTATGATAAAGTTTATTTTATCAGCACTATTAATGAGTTTAATCATGTCAAGATTATCTGTTCTTGTCATCTTAATGTCACAAATTCAATAATTAAAAGTGTAAAATTTAAATAATTAAGTTAGGTTACCTAGTTCTAAAATACTTTTGCTTATTTATCTTTTATATAATATGCATCGACAAATAATATATTATATATATGCAACTTAATTTAATTAAAATATTAACTTAAAGAAATCTTTGAAAACTGTTCTCTTAAAAAATGAATCTCTTTTCGTTAAATCTCTTATGATCAAGTTTTCTACAGAAATACACGATTTTGAATCGTTAAAAATATCAGAATTTTATTCATGCAACTGTTAATTTTAAACAACTTCATATAAAAACTGATTTTCAAATATTTTTATTTTTATTCATCCATTTATGAAATATAAAATATTAGTAAAATTAATATGTTACTTAAATTAAATTAAAAATTAATAATTAATTATTTTACATTTGTAGCTATTTCATCATCAGAATTATTATAGCAGAATTCATTATATCAGAAAATCAAGAATATAATTCAAGAGAAAAAATATAATTGTTTATTTAATATATAATTGTTTATTTAATATATTTTGTTGCAAATTTATATTAATAAAAACACATAAATAATGTTCAATTAATGACATTCAAATAGTTTGTTCTGTTTCTTCATTTTCATCAATTTCTGGTCTTTCATGTCCTTCAAGTATCAAGTTATGTATAGCTTTTACAGTACAAGTAAATAGAGAGAAGCACTTTTCACATTCTTCTGTAATATTTTTTACTAGAATATAAATAAAAATAATATAAATATAATTAAAAACTGTCGAAAAATTTAAAAATATATATTTTTTTATTCTTTATATTATATTTTAACACAAAATATAAGATCTGTTTTTATTAGCTTATTTAAAGCTGAAGCAAAAATTAGTGCAAGAATATACACATATCGTGAAACTGAGTTTGTTTTCTCTTATTTCCTATAATATTTGTAATATATAAAATTTCTTATGTTTATAATAGAAATAATAATAAGTTACCTTCTTTTATGCAATTACGTGCAATCCTTTGTGCTTCGGCATTGCGAGGATGACCAATAGATATTATATCTATTATTGCATAAGCTTTCTGCTCATTCTTTGAATCTTCCATCTATATTATAAATAAAATTTGTAAATAAAATAGGAAAAACAGAAGAATATAAAGTTCTGAGTATTTTTCTAACTTAGATATTCATAAAAGTAAAGTAAATTCATAATTACATGTATGTACTATTAATAATGTATAAAATATCGATTTTTATATTACTTTATAGTGAAATAATATTTTATTACATATATTGATGTCTTTATATCATCTTTATATTATTAAAAAATTCTTTAGTTTTTTTAAATTAAAAAATTTTATAACTAACAATAAATATCATATCATCATGTATTATACACAGAGAATAAATTTATATAGTACAAAAAATTTACCAAATCCTGTTTTTTTAAATAACAAGCTAGGATGCAACCTAGTTTTCGTGACTTTTCTACATTTTCAGGTTTTTTATGCACGTTAATCAATATTTGTACCGCTTCGGACCAAGCATCTAAAAAATAAATTGTAGAATTGCAAGAAAAAGTGCGTATATTGCTTATTTTAAACTTACTTTAAATAGATTGAGTAAATATAGAAATTCTATTAAATTAAAGAGAATTAATTAAATAAAACACTAAAAAATTATGTTAAAGAAATATTTATAAATAATGCAAAGCATAATTTGTTCAAAATTGTTAAAAAAAATTTAAATAATGAGCTGTAAGACAATTCTCCAATATATACTATATATTATTATAGTTACCGAAAGTTACATTATTTTCTGTCATACAAGTCTCCAATTTTTCCCTTAATGCACCCTCTGCTTCCTCTGCACTTTGTCTTATTGTTTTATTTCCAACTAAGTCGGATAACTAAGAAATAGTCAATTTTATTTTATATACTATTTTAAATAATTCGTTTTCCTAAATTGTTATATAATCATGTAAAATTACATTAAGTATACCTTAATTAAATATAATATTTTTATAATTTATTTAATTTATTTTCTTTAAATAATAATTTTTTTTCTTCATATATATCTGGATATTATATTATTTAATATATCAAAATCTATAAAATAATGTATAAAATAATAATGTATTAAATTATTTTTACTATTATTATTATTATTATTACTATATTGTTATAATTTACATTAAAATAATATTAAAATTCTTACAGCAAATCCTAAAACACAGACGCAAAGCACAATAATCTTCATTTTGCTAAGATTATTTCACTTTATTACACACAATTTTGTAGAATATTTGTAGCCATTGGAAAACATCGTATTTATACTGATTGCAAATATAAAATGTGTGGGTTAAAGATGTAAGTATATAGATTATATATTAAGTGTAAACTATGCAAAGCAATGATAATTTTCCGTTATTATTTTACTGACTAATGTTAGTAAAGAACAAAATAAACGGCAATAAAACTATTGCTCTAAATTATACAATATATTATAATACATCATAACTACATATTTTAATCACAATACAGGCCCTCACTATAGAGATTTTCAGAAATTAATCCTATATTTTGATCGTTTCAACAAGATTTTTACACAGTATAATTTCCATATCCTAGCTGGAAAACACTCTATATTAATACGTCTATGATTTTCATACATTCATGCTTTGCATACATTTATTCCTCGACTAAGATGTATGTCGTGCACGACGTTGTGTTCTACGCAACACACTTCCCTCGTTGAGAGGGTACCGATCAACTACGTGTTCGTTGATCTCGCATGAATATAACGTTACGAATGCTTATATTATAATATATATGAATAACAATGTTCTGGTAATAGACATAGTTTTTGCAGCTCTCTTTATTTCGTTGGTGGCAGTTTTGACAGTAGCAGCTCGAATTACTCCTTTTTCGCCTGGATGTATTTCCTTAAGGATTCTTAAGGACTCTAAACAGCCAAAAAAAGAAGCAGATTTTTGGAATTTTTTTTAAAGAAAGTATTTAGTCAAAGTATCTCAAGCTTTAGTAGTGTACTTTACGTAGTACTTTACTTAAGAAAATAAAATATAAAAATATTTTTTTTATTAAGAAAAGCATGTATTTAAATATAGATATCGACGCCCGCCTTCAGCGCCTTTCGGCGTCGCAGACGGTGTGCAATCTAGCATCCGCTGCAATAGTCTAAAATAGAAAAATAAAAATTATTTATTAATTATAGATCATTACGCATCGCTTGAACCTGATTGAGCAAGAAAGAAAACTAAATTGAAAAAAATAGCGATATTTGAAAAAAAACTTGCAATTTTTCCATAAAAATTTTCATCTTTATTGTAAAATAAAAATTATTTACTTTAAAATTTATGTTAATTTTTGTGGTTCATTTGATGAAAAATATAATTTTCTACATGTATAGTACTGGAAGAAACCAATTGGTCAAATATTTTTTTAGTTATCCTGCACACAGTTTGAAAAAAGTGATTTTGAAAAAAACGCGTTTAAAGTTTTTGGTTATAAAAAGTAATACTTTTTAATACTTACAGCCCTAATCGACGATTCCAGGGCCATATAGTTGGCCTTCCACATGTATTAGAATTGATTTAAGCAGAGAAAAAAGAAATCGATTTTTTTAACTCGTTATATGAGAATCCTCCCTTAATCCTGCCCAATGTCTGCTGTGTGCATGGCAGATTTTTTCCTTTATAAGTATGACGGTACCAACGTCTAAATTTGATCCATCCTTTTGCCATTTATTGCGCATCTGAAGTTCATTCAGATATTCTAGGTTCCATCGCTTCCAGAAATCCTGTCGTATCTTAGTAATGTCGCCAGGTAAACATTCGATTGACTGGAACAGACGAAAGGTCAGTTTCTGGTAGGAAGGTTATCGGTTTGTCGATCAAATAATGAGACAACATCATCAGGTCATTTGGATTGAACGAAATGGTCGTAATGAGTCTCGATGATTCAATTCTTCGAAAGTGAATAAAGTATATCCTATCACCTGTTTAAAGTGATGCTTGAAGAGTTTTACTGATGATTCCCACCTAACCTATCGAAATGGGGTGCGACTGGTGATATAAAGTGCCATGTAATTCTACATGGTACTTTATATTTGCTCGAAAAATTGTCTATGATCTCCTTATGCTTCTCAGAATTGAATAAGGCGTACATTTCCTTTAATTTATTATTCGCGCCTACAAAATTGGATCCGTTGTCCGAATATATATGTTCTGGTATGCCACGTCTCGCTATAAACCGACGTAATGCCGCTATAAATCCATTAGTTGACAAATCGCTTACGATTTCAAGATGTATAGCCTTGATTGCCATACATACCAACACACATACATATGTTTATGTTTTAATCCGCGTTCGATTACGGTATTTCTTTTCTTTAATAAAAAAGGGGCTACAAAAATCAATACCCGTATTAGTAAACGGTACAGAACTGCATACGCGAGTCGGAGGGAGATTGCCCATTTTATAATCGATGGTATTTGCCTAAAATCGAAAACAACGCAAGCATGTACGCACAATTTTCCGTACCTGATTCCAACCATCTGGTAACTAAAATTTCTGTCTTAGTAAATATAATGTAGTTTGTATACTTGTATGATGATGTGCCTTATGGATTTCGCGAATAATGTGATCGATTAAACGATGACTATTAGGAAGCAGTATCAGATAATTTTGACCGAACGTTAGACTCGATATTTGCAATCGGCCTCCTACACGAATTAAATCATTGTCATTTAGAAACGGGTTTAAATTCTCAAATCTACTTTTAATCACTGATATTTTGCCCTTTAATCTTTTGATTTCGTTGGGAAATCTTTCAGCTTGAAGCATCTTTATTATTCGTATTTCTGCTTTATTAATTTCTTCCGCGTTCAACGTTCCAGAATGCTTGTTCCTGGCTAAGACGCGAAAATAATATGCTACTATTCTTAATAATTTTGAATAGGACGAGTATTTATCAAAAATTTTAAAATCGTTATCTTTGATCGTCATGCAGGCATTCTTTTTCAGTTCTGGTATCTCTGTTATTTGTGTAATTTCGTTGGGCCAATCAGTCTCATTCTTCACTAACCACGAGGGTCCTACATTAGATTTTGCAAGAAAACGCGAGGTAACTGACCTCTCGAGATCGCATTCGCTGGGTTATCCTCCGACCTAACGTGTCGCCACTCTATCGAATCGATGATTTCTGTTATGGCTATGATGCGATTTGCTACATAAATCTTTAATAAATGTGGAAACATTTGTAGCCAGTAAAGCACAATCGAATCGCATCAAAATACAACTCGGTTGTGTACAATCTCTGTTGTGCCGCTTTATTTCTGATTATTATTTTTATTTTTTCCTGTGTACTTAATAAATTGTTACAATTTTCGTTCTTGAATTTTCAACTACCGACAAAACGATTATATTTCTTTTATTTTTATATGTTTAGGGGGATTTTTATATGTTAAAGTAAAATGAGATGATACAAAGTTTAAAAAAATTAGTCATTATAAACTATATGTTTAAATATGGATATAGATGTGTATTTCAAATAACGTAAATAACAACAATTATATAAGTATAAGAAATACAAATATAATTCACAAATCTATGCATTTAATTAATCTTACAATTTATATTTTAAGATAAAAATACAGAATTATATCATAAGAAATAATCTTAATGTGACATACATTACATATGATTACGTATTCTTATTAATCTAAAAACAATAATTATAAAACAGAAATCATAATTATAATAATGTAATGGTATTATAAAAAGATACATGTTCATGATTATGAAGATCGACTTCCTCGTGATCTCTCGTGTCCCTCTCCTCTAGGAGATCTCCTCTCTATGTTCTCTTTGAGAAAGAAACCTTTCTTTAGCTTTGAAGTAACACGTCACTAGACCAAAACTTTTTTCGTATTTATCTGTAATATCTTTTACTACAACACAAAAAAATTAGTAAAAGAGAGGAAAAAGTAAAATATATATTGTAAAATATAAAGTATTATATACATTTAAGTATTAGATGCATGTTATGCATTTTTTGCTAGAACATTAAATTAGCAAAATGTAAATTAATTAACCTATTCTGTTTCTGAATTTATATAATGAATAATATTATAAATATTTTTCTTTAACGTAGCCAATAATTTTATTTTTATTACAAAATTAGAATATACATATAATATTGCTTTACCTTCTTCTATGCAATCATCCAGAGCTTTGTAAAGAATGTGTCCTGGTTGGATATTTGTTTTTTCAGTAAACTTAGTATGTATTGTTTCTAGGTTAAATTCCGATTCTTCTATCTAACATTATTTAAAAAATATAAATGAGAAGATTAAAGTATCAATAAAAATTAATCTTTTCCTTAATGTTCAAGTAAAACATGAAAAGTCGTCCTAAAAGTCTCAGTTTGTTATTATTTATTAACATTATTTATTAAACGTATGCTGACTTAAAAAAAATAAAAATATTATAAGATTATTAAATAAAAATATTATATAAGATTATTACATTTATATATTTAATAATTTTTTATTATTTAAAAATATAGTTTGCAATTTTGAACGCCATATGTTATACAAAACTATCTCAAAAAACTTACCATATTCTCTTTTTGAATCATGCAATAGAATAAGCAACTATTCTTTCTTAGTTTTTCTTGATTTTCAGATTGTTTATGCCTCTCCTGCATTATATCTCTTAGTGTGAATATATCATCTGTAAAACAAACATTGTAGTAATTAAAAAAATATATATTATCCATTATATATTATAAATAAAATATATATTATCCATTATATATTATAATATCTATACAATAACTATAATTTGCTATGCATTTTATAAAAGATTTAAATATTTAAATAAAAAAATATCTAAAACATAATACGTATTTTTAATATTATATATATTAGTATATAGTATTATATACTATTAGTATATAATATTAGTATATAGTATTATATATATATTATTTTAACAGAATTTATGGATTTCGAAATGCAAATAAGTACGCTTTTTTTATTGAATTTTTAATAAACATTAAAGGAAAGTTTTTAAATAATATTTTAATATATATGAAAGAGTAAATCTTGGTATATATTAAAAATTGTGTGAGTGATTAAATATAAAAAAGATTTTACAAATTCGTTGGCTTAATCATACAATTCCTAAACACGCAATTTGAAAGAGAGAGAGAGAGAGAGAGAGAGAGAGAGAGAGAGAGAGAGAGAGAGAGAGAATAATAAAGTCTTGTATAAATTAATAACTTACTATCAGTGGCACCGGTTTCATTCAGGCAAGTATTGTAGTAGTTTTCGTCGGATGCTAGTTTCTTATTCACTAAATCTATAGCTTCATGTGGAACTGTAGCTAAAATAGCAGGCTAAAATATGTGCAATTATATTTTGTATTATTTTCATTAATTTTACCTTCTTATTCTACATTATTCTACATTATTTAATTATAGTACGTTAATTATAATCTAGTATATTTATATATTAATTTTAATTTTAATTAAAAGTTTCAATTTATTTTAAAAATATTTTTAGAAAATCTTTTTTTTACTTTTAACTCTTTCTTTTATAGCAAAATAAGATATTTACAATAAATGCAAAAATGATAATGTAGAATTCGCGTGCCATCTTGCTTATATAATTACTCTGTATCTAATTACACTTTTTCAAGTACTGTGCGGAGCATAACAGCATCATTATATTTATAGGCTGCAAATATAAAATGCGTAGATAAAATCGCCGACGTCATACATTATTATATAAGCATAAAACATATGATGTAGAAGAAAACATATTGATAATTGACTTTTTCCGACTGGTGTAAGTATGATATAGTAGAATATGACATGACATATACATGTTATCGTCAAAGGTCAACCATGTACGGTCACTTCTTACTTTGACTAGTCAATCTTGAGAATTGACTAAGTCTCTTGGTCAATCTTTGAAATATTTTTATATTTTGGCCTTTGACCAGGACGTTTTCTGTTGATTCTAGAATAAATTAATCTGGTCAAAGGAAGAAAATAAAAAAATATTTCGAACTTTGCCTAGGTCAAGGTCCTAAGTGTGCTTTTATTCGGAATTTGATTAATAAAAAAATTATATTTCTGATTATTATTTTTATCTTTTTCTTTGTTTACTTAATAAATTGTTACAATTTTCGTTCTTGAATTTTCAACTACCGACAAAACGATTATATTTCTTTTATTTTCGATAATATAAAAAGTAAGTAACTTGTAAAACTAATGGACAGGCTTATTATTAAGTAATCTTTTGATACATATCTTATTAACTAATATCTAGTAATTAATATTAGCTAATATCTTATTAACAACCTTTATGTCTTATTAACAGCCTTTACATTTATTAACAAAAACTTTGTAGTAATAATTGAAATCACATCAAATAAAGTAATTATAAATAATAAAATTAATTAAAATAATAAAATTAAAATAAACATATTTTTATTAAATGAAATTTAGATATCTTTAAAAAAAACGTATTAAAATGATATACTGATATAAAAAAGACATAACATGTACGACAAATAAGATATCACGATTTGTCTACCTTATTCCAATTACACCTAAACTAGTCAAAGGATGAATTGGATTATTTTAATTTCTATCTTTGACCGGCCTGTTTATTCTCTCTTAGGATTGATTAAAAACATATCAATCAAAGGTCAAAATTTAAATCTAATTCGGATTTTGACCAAAGCCGTTGGTCGGATTGACTAATTATTAGTTTAGTTATTCCAAGAAGGACTGTGTTTCGCAAGTTTTACCTATACATATATACAGGGTGTATCTGAAATGATGCACTAAACTTTAAAAGCGTATTCTAGAGGTTAAAATAAGATTACTTTTTTTTCTTATGAACATAGGTCCGCAAATTAACTCCCCTCCGCGCTAAAATTCGAAAATGTGTGAAATTAACCAAACACCCGTAACGCAAATTTATTTATCTCTCAAAAGAAAGTGATAGGTAACATCAAAATCTTTTTTCTTTTTGAAACTCAGCCAATTTTTAATTTTTTCCCTAAACTTTAGGGGTCTCTAGCTTGGAGAAGGTTCATTTGCGGATCCATGTTTATAGGGAAAAAAGTCTTATTTTGACCTCTAGAATACGCTCCTAAAGTTTAGTGCATCGTTTCAGATACACTGTATATATATATATATATATATATATATATATATATATATATATTTTCTTATATATACAATTTGTATTTTTATTTTTATGTCTATTTTTGTGCTAAATTTTTATAAATTATAGCATAGTTTATATTTATTTGCGCTTTCTATTCGATAAATTTAGCTTTCTGACACATTGGAAATGTTTGAAGAATATATTAAATTCTTGGATGATACATATAGGAAATTAACCTGTTACAATTAACGGGCACAAAGATGCATTTGAAACTTTTATGTACAGTGAGTTTCGAACTTGTCCAATTATGCCGTCTCCAAAATTATATCTATGATCGACTTATATTTTCTTGTTGTCCATAAACTTTGTTAATAAAGGACTATATATACATATATAATATTTGTTCGATTTATATAAAGAAATAGCACAAGTTATTTTATGGTTACTTTTGTACTCAAAAAAGAGAGAGAAAATGAGAGAATTATTCTATTTAAATATTTTATATATTTTTGATAAGTTTAGTATTTTTGATAACTTTAGTATTTTTGATAACTTTAATAAAGTTGAGTTAAAATTGAATGAATTTGGATTAATAGAATTAATCTAAATGGATAAACATTCTCTCTCTCTCTCTCTATTTACATGTTTTTTTTAAAGAAGATAATTATAAATCTTTTTTCTTTTGGAAAAATATTTAGTATTTTTAAAATAGTTTATGCTTTAGCGTTAATGCAATAATCTTGCAGTAATTTACTCTAGGAAAACAAAAATGTAATAAACAATAATGTGATAAAATAGATATGGGATTTTTGCAATATTAATTAAAGAAATTTTGAAGAGATTATATTATTATACACACAGGGAGAGTAGAGGAGACGGGAGCGTAGAAGATGGAGAAAGGGAAGAAGAATGGTGGAAGATGGTGGAAGAGGAAGAAGAAGAAAGAAGGAAGAGGAGGAAGACTGGGAAGAGAAGAGGAGAGGAGAAGAGAGAAGATGAGGGTTGAGGAGGGGGGGGAGTAGGGACAGAGGAGGAAGATAGGAGAGGGAGATAAGGGAAATGGAGGGGTCTCTCTCTCGTTTAGCTAGGTTAAATGGGGTAGTTCGTAAGGTAGAATGTAAGGATGTATTTGTTTTTTTGTTGTAAGAGGTTCGGGTACGCTTCTCGAAAAAGCGCTTTCAAACCCCAAGAGGACGAATAAACATTCTATCTATCTATCTATATTTTGTTGCAAATTTCTATTAATAAAAATACACAGATAATGTTCAATTAATTACATTCAAATAGTTTGTTCTGTTTCTTCATTTTCATTTATTTCTGGTCCTTCATGTTCTTCATGCTTCTGTGATTTATGTACAGCTCTTACAGCACAAGTAAATAGAGAGAAGCACTTTTCACATTCTTCTGTAATATTTTTTACTAGAATATAAATAAAAATAATATAAATATAATTAAAAACTGTCGAAAAATTTAAAAAATATAATTTTTTGTATTCTTTATATCATATTTTAACACAAAATATAAGATCTGTTTTTATTAGCTTATTTAAAACTGAAGTAAAAATTAGTGCAAAAATATATCGAGAATCTGAGTTTGATTTCTCTTATTTCCTATTATATTTGTAAAATTTCTTATATTATTTATATATTATTCTTAAATTATTTATAATACAAATAATAATGTTACCTTCTTTCATGCAGTCACGTGCAATCTTATGTGCTTTGCCTTCGTCACGAGAACCATCATATATTTTATTTATTTTTGCATGAACTTTCCCTTCTTTAATCTTTGAATCTTCTATCTATATTTATAAATAAAATTTATAAATAAAATAATAAAAACAGAAGAATATAAAGTTCTGAGTATTTTTCTAACTTAGATATTCATAAAAGTAAAGTGAATTCATAATTACATGTATGTACTATTAATAATGTATAAAATATCAATTTTTATATTACTTTATAGTGAAATAATATTTTATTACACATATTGATGTCTTTATATCATCTTTATATTATTTATATATTATTAAAAAATTCTTTAGTTTTTTTGAAATTAAAAAGTTTTGTAACTAATAATAAGTATCATATCATCATATATTATACATAAAGAATAAAATTTTAGTATAAAAAATTTACCAAATTTTCTTTTTTTAAAAAACAAGCTATGGTGCAACCTAGATTTCTTGTCTTTTCTTCATTTTCAGGTTTTTTATGTACATCAGTCATTATTTGTTCCTCTCTGTACCAATCATCTAAAAAATAAATTGTAGAATTGCAAGGAAAAGTGCGTACTTTGCTCATTTTGAACTTACTTTAAATAGATTAAGTAAATATAAAAGTTCTATCAAATTAAAGAGAATTAATTAAATAAAACACTGAAAAATTATGTTAAAGAAATATTTATAAATAATGCAAAGCACAATTTGTTCAAAATTGCTCAAAAAACCTTAAATAATGAGCTATGAGATAATTCTGCAATATATACTATATATTATTATAGCGATAGTTACCGAAAGTTACATTATTTTCTGTCATACAAGTCTCAAAATTGTCCTCCCTTGATACTGCACTTTTGAATTGTCGTTTTATTTCATCTTCAATTAAATTGGATGACTGAGAAATATGCAATTTTATTTTATATACCATTTTAAATAATTTTTTTTACTAAATTGCTATATAATCATGTACAATTATACTAAGTATACGTTAATTAAAATATATTTTTATAATATTAATTTATTTTCTTTAAATAATTAAAAAAAATATTTTTCTTCATAAATATCTGGATATTATATTATTTAAGATATTATAATCTATAAGATAATGTATAAAATTATAAGATATTAAATTTTTACTATTATTATTATTATTATCATTACTATATTGTTATAATTTACATTATAATAATAATAAAATTCTTACAGCAAAACCTAAAACACAGACGCAAAGCACAATAATCTTCATTTTGCTAAGATTATTTCACTTTATTACACACAATTTTGTAGAATATTTGTAGCCATCAGAAACATCGTATTTATACTGATGATAAATATAAAATGTGTGGGTTAAAGATGTAAGTTCATAGATTATATAAATATTAAGTACAAACTATGCAAAGCAATGAAAATTTTCCGTTATTATTTTATGACTAATATTAGTACAGAACAAAATAAACACTAATAAAACTATAGCTCTAAATTATACAATATATTATAATACATCATAATCATATTTTAATTACAATAGAAGCCCTCTCTATAGAAATTTTCAGAAATTAAACTTACACTTTGATCATTTCAACAAGATTTTTACACAGTATAATTTAGCTGTATAATTTAGCTACACAGTATATCTTAGCTGGAAAACACTCTATATTAATACGTCTATGATTTTCATACATTGCTTCTTCAAATGCTGTCATAATTTCCTGTACAGTACACAAGCTTGCAACAACATTGGTGCAATATTACATCATAAGATTGGAGAAATATAACACTATAGAATATGGAATATAATATTATAACATATTTTTATATTTCTTAGAAATTTAACAAAAATTTAATTACATATATAAAAATTAAATTCATATATAAATATATTTCTATTGTATTTATATTTTAAAAATGTACAATTTTAATTCTGTATAATTTTATTATGTTAATCAAAATGTATAAGAGTGCAAAAATGTATATAGATTTATGGATGTAGATTTATTTTTCCTTCTTGTTAAATTACAGTTTATTTTTACAGAATAATATCAATTATTAACATATAATATTTAGTTATTGAAATTCAATCCTGTTCTCCAAATATTAAGGATTGTGATTTTCATCTATACCTTTTACTACATATCATTGCTGTAACGCCTTTTTCACATTTTTCTTGCATAATATTTTTTATTAGAATATACGAACGCAATTAAAGAACATTAGAGGAAGTAATGCATTACTTTTAAAATTTTTATTATAAAATTAATGTGATAATTAGGATAATCAATTGCTTTGATGTTAAGATGAGAAAATTAAAAAATTATTTAAAAGTAAAAAAGTAAAAAATTAAACATTTATCACAAACAATTTTGTTAAATATATAATTAATTATGTACACTTTTAAACTTATAATAAATATAATAATAGTTTACCCTCTTTAACAATTACGTACAGTTTTTTGTGCTGTAGTTTAAAACAGATAATTTCGTTATATTTGCATAAATTCTTTCTTCCTTAAGTTCTGTTCCTTCCATCTTATATTAAGAAAAAAAATAATATTTTAATAAGTACAATTAATTATATTTCGTAAAATTTAGCGTTTTCTCATTTATATTGTAATAAATTTGCATTAAGTAAATGCATAAATATAATGTTATTTGTGACGAAATCAATTTTTAAATATTTATGATAAAACAATTTACTCTTAGAATATTAGTGATTTTTACATTGATATTATTAAACTTTTAATGATTTAAAATTATATTATTATTTGAGCAAGTTATATTGTCGAATATTGTTATGCAAATTATACAATAATAGATTTTAAAATTGTAAAAAATAATGGTATAAAATTTTACCCAGTCAAATTTTTTTAGAATGCATTCAATTGCACAACCATGTTTTTTTCTTTTTTCTTTCATTTCATGTACGTTAATTTGCTCATGTATAAAAATTTTTATTTCAAATATCTTCTATATTATAGGCCTGTTCTGAAAAATAAATCGTATTTTTTATAATACATTTAATAAATATATATAATACACTTTATTTTATATATTTTATCATATTTTTTCATTTTTAACAATCTTTCTTAAAGTACAAAATGCAATTTATTTATTTTATTCTAATTTTTATTAAATTTTAGAAATAAGATTCCTTTTTCACTTAAAAATCAGTTAATTTATTATGATAGAAAGATATTTACAACACATTGTAATATATAGGTGCAGAGTATGAAAGCTTTTATTTTACTAAGATTATTCTTGTGTATGAACAGTATAAACACTTTTATGAAATCTTAATCGCGGTTATTAGATGCTATTATATTTATACGCATTGAAAATATGAAATGCGTAATAAGGTCAAAAATATAAGATTACAGAATCATATTTTATGAAATTGTAAATCTGGATTTACGATTACTATTCCTTATCATAATCTAATTATCTTATATTATCGTATCACAGTAAATAAATGAATCATTTAATAATAAAATCATAAAATTAAAAAATTTGATATATTGTCAAATAAATATTTGATTAAGTTTTTATGGTGAAAAAACAATAAAGAATAATGAAAAAGATTGCTTTGCTATTATGTTTTAGAAGAAATTGTTACATCTTCTAATAAACATCTTAAGTTCTTGTGCTTTAATTTTTATTTTATAGATAATTCAACTCACGAAAAGATGGGTAAAGTTTTAATAGGTTAAGCGTTAAGCCAATAGTTCATTAAAAAGATAAATCATGGTAACTTTAAATTTTATATACAAATGTGGACAAATAAAGATCGCAATACTTGATTGCGACACGCGTAATTTCAATCATTGCGATATATAATTAATATTATTGCTCTATATAACAATAAAATTGGTTTGATAAACAATGAGTATTTTTTTATAATTGCATCATGTTATTATAATATGCATGACGAATCAAACGTAAAAAAATATAGGTTTTAATATAAAAATTAAATGTGAAAAAAATTATTTTGTAATATGCTATTTTATGTAAATTTCTCGTAATTTAGATAAAATATTAATTAAAAGATAAAATATTTTAATTTACGAATTTGATGATAATAATTTAATCACAGATCAAGGTTTTTTTCGGATGGCACGCCTCTTAATATTCGACATATCGATACATACATATATACATATATCTTTGATATCTTTTAAAAGTCTTTTAATATAAATTTAATATTATTGTAACACACTTTTAGTGCTTCTTTGATTATTAGTCTTTAACAATATATTTTGAATTATGACAATAAAAATATTCAAAAAGAAGTTAATATTTATAATAATTATCTTATAGTCATTTTTTCTTTAAAATCTACTGAAAAGCTTAGAATTACTATATGTATTATATTTTATATATGTATCATATTTTACGTCATACATATAATATTTTGATCGTAAAATGCATTTTGTTAAATATGAAATTGGCAATATACCTAATGTAGATAATATTGTGTATTATTGATAAAATTGGATGTATAAATTATTACATATTAAATATAAATATATAAATTTGCTTATTATTGCAAGTATTATTAAAGGAATATTTAATAAGAATATTTTGAAGTACGCATATACATTACAAAACTCCAAGATATTAATGTACTGTTCGACTCTTTCACATTACCAGCTGAGTAAAAATACTGCTCCAAACTCCTTTCTCTTTACAGTATACGATATAACCAAACTTAGAAAATGTAGTGGTATAACACAATGCAGTTTCACGCCCTTTGGTACAGATGGATGAAAAGGATTTGTATCATACAAATATAAGCTATTTTTAAAAATATAAATAAATAAATAAATAAATATATATATATATATTTATATTTATATATAGTTAAATAAAATTATATATCATAGCGAAAAAAGCTGCAGCAAAATATAAAAAAACTTTTATACATTATATAAAATTACTTGTGTAATACAAATGATTGTGTAATGATAAATATAAAAATATCATCATCAAAATGAATAATAAAGAAACTAATCTGTTTATAATTGTTTTTATATAAAGAAGATGTTTTATGTATCTTGAAAATTTTTAATATAATTCGATATAATTTCGATATATTTAATCTCTCTGTATCTCTCTGTATCTCAATAAAACTTTTTCCAATGTTTAAAATAACATACGAAAAAAATATTTTATAAATATTATATTTAATTAGTAAGTCTCGGACACTCTTAATTACGTACCTATTATATTATAATTATAGCAAATGTTTGTTTCGATTTAATTTTCACACATATATGGGACTATTAATAGCGAAACGTTTGTTAAACTTTACATACGTTTATTTAATAGCGTTCATATTTCGAGAATTTATTACATTATATAAACATAGACATTTTGCTTTTTTACGCTAATTATCTAATTTGATATACCTATGGTATAGAGTTAGAGTACTTCTAGGCATGCAGTATTCCATCATTATTTAGTAAAACGTGCTTGCACGGTAAACACATTTATACTCATTGCCTTGCACACTCCCTAATACCTTGGCATACTCATTTGTAATATTTTTTTTACACTCATATAGTATTCACTGACGCATACATTTTTTCGCACTGTTCATTTATTCTCATCAATTCATGCCTCGACGATATTATCGAATATATATCCAAAAATGTCGCTAAAGTTTTCATTAAAAACGAAATGTCAGACTTTCACTGTGGCATTGCATTGTAGCATAACCTTGGGGAGTTTGAAAATAAACTTATTGTAATGTATTAAAAAATTTTATCACAAAAACTTGTAACTTTTGAAATTTGCAGAGTCGATATAATCAGATTAAGATACCCGTAAGTATACAGGAAACATAGTTTTCATAAAACAACATTTATTATCTATTATTCATAAAGTTAAAAATTATTCATCATATTTTTATATAGTTGCAATATATGAAGTTAAAATAAATTTAATAATTTCGATTATCATCTTACGATTATATTACGCTTCCAAAAATTTTCTGTTTCCGTAAATACTAAAAAAAAAAGAAATTACACGAATCAAATTTATTCGTTGTTAAGATGCAATACATATTCCTTTTAATTCATATCTGCATTCTTCATGTGGAATGTTATATCACCTTTGTGCTCGCATAAGTTCTCTAAAAACTTGAACTAAATTCAAATTAAGTAAAGATTCTACAAATGGAATCTATAAAATAGAATTTATAAGATATATCCATCGCATGTAAGATTACGTATAATTTGAATTATCACATGCATCTAATGTTAAATATAGCTGCTTTGAGAAATATAATTATATATTAATATTTTTATATATTAATATGTCTGTGCATTTTCAAATATTGCAAATATTTTCATATTGAATATTGACATAAAATATGAAAGTTCAATCACATTTAGTCAAATTTGCACTGCAAATAATATTACATAATTTATGTAATGTCAATTTTTCTCTACACTATATTTTGTTACGAACTAAAAATAAATAAATTCATATCAATAAATTATGTATTAATAAATTATGTATTATCAATCGCAGATTTATTTAATCCCGAAATAGTTTAGTAACAAATCTTTTCTACTTGATCTGATGCTTGTTATCTATAATTTGTTTCTCTTTGATTGTTCGCGTATACGATTTAATTAAATTCTCGTAAGAGATTTACGGGCGACAAAGTAGTTTCGTCGATTCCTGCATCGACTATTTTACAAAGCATCAAAAGACAAAGTGTCTTAATGCTAATGTATCTTTCGTTGAGTGAATCGGTGCGCAAAATTCACGGAAGCGAACAACCCGATCTCGATAAAGAGGTGCTTTCCGAAAAGACTTTCCTTCGTAAAGTCAAGTGAAAGATTTCGTTCCCATTGCTAATGTCTGGCAAAGCCGAGGCATGTATGTGTCCTTCGAAGCGTATGATTCGATAACTCGACGTAAAAGTGTTCACTACGAGAATAAAAGTCAAATGGTATGCGTCGGTCGCATGCGCCAGTCAATCGATCACAAAATATACATGAAACATTTTCGTCAAATAAATATACAAATACACAGTTATACACAGGAATTCCGAGGCGCACGGCATGAAAATATATTACGATATTACGAGCATTCCCGCTTTTATTATTGTCTAATATATAACTGTATGCATGGAGAATTCGTTATAAATATTTCTCTACATTATAATTTCATATGACATAAACATGTCACAGATTTTCCGTAATGTAATGTAAAGTCATAATAACAATTTTGCGTTTAAGCACTGAATCTGAATATTAATTTCAAGCTGAATAAGATGGTTTCTTTATATAAATAATATATTTTTACATATTTTATATATTTCGTCCAAAATGTATTCGTATTTTTTAGAGCCCGTAATAATATTTATTAATTGTACTTTTATAACTCTTCACTTTAATGCTAAATGCATAAGCGATTAAATCATATGTTGCGATGGATTATTGATACGACGAGTCACGTATGCTTGCTTGCGTATGTTTATTTATATTTCGTTGGACCAAATGTACAGAATCGTGTTACAAAAATCTGTTCGACATGCGCCAGTTTCAAATGTTCCATAGAAATTAACTGCGTGAATTAACTGAATACTGACAACCGAATGATTCGTAAACGTAACGGCACAGAGAACTTATGCGATTACTAACACTATCAAATTATATTTTATATTATATCATACGATCATGATACACCTACCTTTTCATTATGTCATATAAAAAAATAAAACGTAAAGACAAAGGATGATCTTCAGTCCTGTCTATCAGTATGATGAATACCATCGTCCACGTTTATACGGTTCTTATAAATCTTTTATTATTCGTCTCTACTTTCGCTTTGCATCAAAATAAATATATCTTTCATACAGTATGAAATTAAGTAAAAAAAATGTAAAAAATATGTCAAAAGTCTCCTGTGTGTCTTTAAGTCGACAGATAATTTGTTTATCGCATTTTCTCATATATGGCCAGATAAATACGTGGCAGTTGTTAAGCATAACAGTCGTATAAACGGCAGTATAACGGCAGTGAAATCCGAAAAAGATACACTACAATCGTGTGACCGTTGAATGTTTAGCGACCAAAGCTATGTCTATATAAATCCTACGATTGGTACTTTCTCGCGAGGCGCACGCTAGATGATAAGATCGCGTCGATATCGTGAAGAATGATAGCGAAATACGTCGAGAGATATTCGTTAGGTGTACATTTAAAAAAATAGTTTAACACACAAATGTTATCAAATAAAAGAAAGAAACGGAATAAATACATATAAATACTGGCAGTGGAAGATGCGATGCAGTTTCCCGGGATGGGAGAGGCTGGGGGATTGGGATAGATATAAATAGATATAGCATAGGTACGTGATACGACATACATTAATAGAGGCTTACGAACGAATTACGCTCCTTGATTAAACTAATAGCAAATTAGCTTAGATATAAATAATCCGCTTATACAAAAATAATTACGCGGTTTTGTATCGGCGAATGCCGTTTCGAATTTACTGATCTATATAGTTACATTCGTCTCGCGATCGGCTAACCAAATGTTTATACGCAGGTTCTCCATAATTTGTTTTCCTATTATCGATCCGTAACGCTCGCATGCGACTCTTCCGTTGCTCTATGCAGCTTACAGGCTGCATCTCGTACCTCGAAACGTAATATTAGGCCGTAAAGTGAAAAATTCGAAGCGCGCCCTTCGAAATTCGCGATGCAGTCTGTCTCGGCGATTTCGTCGCGGCATGATCTCTTGGCTTTTTCAAAAATTAAGCTACATTCCCACTGCTGCTGTCGGTGAGGTGAGGTAAGAAGATGTCGACGGCGTGACTTTCAATTAAATGTTCCTGCCACGCTTAAAATATAGTTTACATTTAATTAGACATTTATCAGTGATTTATATTCACACACTTGTGACCCTACATGACTTTTTAATGGCATAACTGCTTGTCTTCTGATTATCGTACCATTTACAAACGGTCTAATATGCTAGCTAAAGATCGTGCAGTTAAAGTGATAGCTGGAACGCTAAATTAGCAGCACTGTAACTAAACTCATGAAAAAGACAAGAAACACGTCGCTATTCGTGTTATTATTACACGTCGCCGACTCATTTAGATTTATTGGCTATTATAACGATGTTACTCGCATGTGTATGGTACAAGCGAAATGTCGATCGCCAGATCAAACAATCTGCAGTAATAGCAATATTGGCAATCATTCGCGTCATTCGCACAAACATTTTTCTCTCTCTTTCTCTCTGTTTTTATTTCGCTATTTTTCACGTATTTATAGATCTTTTTTTTTTGCAAAAATTCAAAGACCATTTGCTCCGTGGATAGAAATAGCTATGCGGTCGAAGATTCGCGTTTAGTGTAAAAATTCGCTGGGAGGAAGGTAGACCTAACGTGGGATCTAGGCTTCGCGATATAAACACTTATAAAACTTGTTCGAGAAATTACGATTGTCAATAATTTTCATTAAATATGATACTTTCATATATGATATTAATAAAATTGATATCTTGTTTTTCACGAATAATTTAAATAAACGTATCACAAATATATTACTCTTTCTTTCAGATATTTTCAAATATCCTCATATACCGTGATGAAGGATAAATAATATATTTTTTAAGCGATGACTTTTAAAAGAAGCGGACCGATTACATTGGTATATTACATCAGACTTTCAAGGGAGATTATAATCACCATCGAGGGGGAGAAATGTATTAAACAAAATGCGGTGCGTATAGATCCTATAAGAAGATTACGGAAGCCTGTTTACACGCCGCCGCGAATCCCCCATTACCAGTTAGGTCCATTCCGCGCTAAATCAACGACGTAATCGCACGCACTCGTGCGTACGATGTTACGAACACGCAAGCGCCCGCGTGCGCGGTCCGCGATCGCAAATGTTGCGGACACGTTGTCCGCGCGCGCGCGCTCGCGTCTCACCCTTTCGTTCATTTTATATTAACTATATCGGATCATTATATACGAATAATACCTAGTATACGTTTAACTGCTTCGATATCGATAGAGTCCGTAGCTATATATACGTACAATATAATCTTGCTTCTTCTTTCTTTCTCTTTCTTTCACTTTCTCCTTTCACCCTTTCTCTTTTTTTTCTCTTTAATAATACATATCACACTGAGCCGGCTATGTGTGTGTCCATCTCGTTTTGGCCTGCACTTCGTCACGCGCTCCCTTGCGTTTCGCGAAGGGACGACGCGTAGGGATGTCGTGGACGCGTGGTAGCTCCTCGGTCCTCGTCATCCCGCTGCCGCTCCCTTCGTCATCTTCGCATGGAAGCACGGGCGGTGGCAGTGCTACGGATCCGGGGGTTTCTTCTCGGTCTCGTTTCACGTCTCGACGCGCGTCGACGAGACTCGGGCCGCGATGCGTCGACTGGCTAGTAACATTTGCGGGTGCACGTGCACTTACGCACCAGGTCAACGTCCTTGGTGTACCGCATGCCATCCGTGCAAATTAATCGCACCTGAAATTAATATGTAATTGTTTGTAATGGCCACATATTGGTATCATTGCATAACCATTATCGGCAAATAACTGCAGCGAAATCAACCAGCTTGATGATCATAATTGCAGTAATTGACGCGGTTGCTTCGATCGCGGTTCATTGCGCGATCGATCACTTTGGAAGACGTGACATCTAGTCTACTTCACCTCGCGCCGCGGAATTTGACACCAATTAACAAGAATAAGAGCGATTTGGGCTTTAATATTCAACGACGTTGCCCATTGTTGACCGGAATAATAGTAGGTCTCATAATATGTAAATGTTGATGCAACATTAATTTACTCCGAGATTTCACGTTATGCAGGGAGAATATCCCCAGACAATTGAAAATTATACAATAGAATCAATGCATTGTAGTGTATTTCGCGGAAAACCATATCGCGAATTTCAATCGATATATGAATATCCTATGTACCTTGCGCCGCTTAGTCTTCCGCGGTAAACAGCAGGAATTGCCGCAACTTCCCCAACATTTAGCAAGCTTCACCGGTCGCCGACTTCGACAACCATTCTCACTATAGTACTCCCTTGTATGCTCCTTACGACAGGTCGGTGCTGCGATAACAGTGTCAATTATTTTTATTTCGAAAGACGCATGCACGATATTACGAATTAAATATATTATATTAATAATAATAAAAAATATCTTAAATAATAATTTATAATATATTTATACATTATTTTTTTATTACATAAATGTATGCTTATCCTCTATATTTTTATATTCATAAAGATAAAGGATGCGTGACATGTACCTTTCTCACAGTATCGTCCTTGCCAACCAGTTTGACATCGGCAAGAATAACTGGTGCCGAACGGTGATGGTACGCATTGCGATCCTTTTCTGCACTCGTGTCCGACACATGCGTTCGACACATGCGAAGACATCAACCCAGTTACCGACATGAAGATATCTATAATTAACATAAATTATTTTTCCAAACAATATCAAATGTGATAATTTAAAAACAATATTTCAAATTATAATTTATTAATTTCTTATTTTAATTCTATTTAAGATGTATAATTTCTCGCGTTACATAATCAATTCAACATATTTTATAAATGCAATATCGTTAACAAATATGATAAGCATGTTGATTAAAAAAATTATATAATGTCGTGATTATGAAATAATTCAAATTTTTTTAAGCATATGTTTTATAAGTTGCTTTTTTAAAGGAATATTTCTTAGAATATTTTAGAAATTTGAGGATCCAAATGTACTCGATTTTTAAATTTAGCAAGTTGTATCATTAGCAATTATATGTTTAACATACCAGAATGTTCGCGAGGTATATGTTCTTGCGGCATGGATTCCTCATTACTACCGCTATTGTTAATTCCCTCAGCTACAACAATATCTCTCGCCTCGTCGGCCTCCTCTTCGCTAGCAGCACATCCGGGAGTAACGCGATGCATCTTTGCGGCGTTGCTGAAGTCTACCAACTTATGATTGATCCACATCTCGGAGATGCATCCTGAGATAAAGCAAGAAAACTTTTAATGGATCTGGCGAGGGAGAAACTTTTGCTTTATCTTATATAAAGAGTGGCGGCACGAATGTGTACTGGACGTTATATCATGCAATTGGGTAAGATAATAAGTAAGCATGTATTCTGCGTGTGTGTGCATTTACATAAATTTTTATGTAAAGACTACGTCACACGTGTAAGATCAATGCGATTGGTAACGATGATGTTGATGTATACTTTCTCTCACTATTAATAACAATATCATTATATTAATATCATTATTTTATAATAAAGAAGAAGTTTAAAATACAATTATAATGTAAATTTCGCTATATAATATATTCCACATGTGTGATTACAAATTGCACATATCGTATTGTTACAAAACTTTTCAAATCTAGCTTCTCTCTTAGTTATAAATACCATGCTACATATTATTTCCTACACCATATGCAAACATAGTAAATCAGTATTGCGCCGAGGGACATCAAAAATGTAACCGAATATTAAATGAGATCTCCGCAAGTTGCAAATTTGTGGCTGATATTCCGAGTTTGCGACAACTATCGTTTCCCTGAGGAACCGCAGGATATTGGTGTTGGAACTAGCAGTGGCGGAGAGCACAAATCAACTGTGAAATCTTCGAAATTCCCAACTCGATGGTTTTGTTAGAATATTATTATGACAGTTTTTTTTATAACTGTGTAAACATAATTTAAAAAATAATTGTGATAATTCAATAAAGATGATTATCTAAAAAGACTGATCTAAATAAGAAATTGATGAATATTCTATTTTTAAATCTAAATATTATGGTAACTTTATAAGGATAATGCAGAATTTCATCAAAATTTGATACGATGTTTTTCAGAAAAGAATTTACCTTGGAAGCTCGTAGTGTTCCTTAGGTGAAACTCGGTAAATGCGACTTTAGCAACTTCCGGCGCTACGCCACCGATGAACATCGGCGTGACAAGCTTGAGATACTCCTTTGGACCGTCGTTGATGATGCTCCTGGCGGGGCCCCTGTCGACGCTCATTGTGAAATTTTTCTTGATAGCCAGCAGCTCCGCCATGTGAGGCTTGCCATCGGCCACCATCTCGTAACTGTACATCGTCGAGGTAGGATAATTACCCACGTCGTATGAAACCCTGACCCGCCCATTAAAGAGCTCGACGGCGATGTGCCCGTCGCTTTGCCCGTCATAGAGAAGAACCCCGTTTTCCTGCGTGGTCGTGAATATGATGGTCACGTTCGCCTCGGGCCTCGTGCGTAGCGGTTCCAGCTCGACCAGCGAGCTATTGTCCACGAAGCTCAGACTCGTCAGGTACTCGCATCGTTTTCCTGAAATGATAGGTGGTCTCGCTTGTCACGCAGTTTATCGTGAAACGCCACGCATGACACGCAAGAGGTAATAGAAAATTATCTTGAAATCATGAAGAAACTAAATTGATTCTGGATTTTAAAGAGAATATATCAAATTTAATTTATTAGAAAAAAAATATTCGTATAGAGAATATTTTACGAGAATAATTTTAAAAAAATCTTGCTTTATCATTGTTCAAAATTATTATAATATTTATAATATATATTGTATTGGGGTTTTAAAATGAAATATATGATCATGTTATCTATATATTGAGATGAACTTTTTCTTGAAAGACTTACCGGTGTAGCCGGGGTGGCACTGGCAAAGATAGTCCGCGGCGGAGGCAGGAGCTGGCTGGAAGCAGGCACCGTGCTGACAGTCGTGGTGGGCACACGGACTGGTCTGTGGATACAGCATGGCTGTCGAGGGTGCAGCCTCGCAGTATCTCCCTGTATACTCCGCCGCGCACTTACATTCATAATTATTTATGCCGTCAATGCAAGTAGCACCGTTCTGCGAAGCAAATAATTTATAGTTTGCAAAGATGCAAATTTGTCGATAAAAGTTTTTAATTAAAGCTCAGAGAGAGATAGAGAGAAGAATAAATTTAACTTAAACCTTAACTTCATTTATTATAACATTTTATCATTCGAGCATCTTTTTCGATATTTTTATGTTTTCAATATTATTTTTAAGAAAGCTTTGCTTTTTTAAAAATAAAGAGAAATAAAATATAAACATTGAATAAATTAAAAGGTATTTAGATATAGATATTATGTTTTTGATAGATTATGCTTCTAGATAAACTATATTAATAAAAATGAATTATAAATGGGTTATTAATTTATAATAAAAAATTTCTTAAAATTACTATACCTAGAGATAAAACATCACAGAGAAAATAAATAGAAATAATAATTTGGTTATCGATGCATTTCTAATGTAGCCGTGTAATTAATGTCTACTAGTAACTTTACGGATAAGATAGGAACGCGCGCGCAAACTGTGTGGATGCAGCTAACTACTAGCAGAGGGTTACAAATCATCGAGCAGACCGCCAGTTTCACATGCCTGGTCTAAAGTCTCAAACTAAAGGCCATGTATTCCGGCTTAAGTCACATATGTGCAATACTATATCCCCTCTGCGAGTTACACGTGCTAATCTTATCAATAGCTGAATCCTGTTTGAACCAATGGAAGCAATTCGAAAGTTTGACGTTATATAATGTTATAATATAAAGATCTATAAGCGTGTCGATCACAATGATTACAATTGATATAATTAAAAATTTAATGTAATAGGCTTTGCAATTAACTGATATATAAATAATATATCGTAAATTTGGTCTATTAAGTTATGTTAATTAATATGCAAGATCGATATACGCAAATGGAAGATTTAATGGAAGAGCCTCTGTAGGTCAATTTTGCGCCATTCATGAAAGCTTAGGAAGCTTGAAACGTGATATAGTATCGTGGCTTTAGAGCTAGCACCACAAAACCGAAAACTCCACACGGGCTTCCGCTATTCCAAAACCGCGCAAACACTCCGATGAAATTTGGCTAGTATTATAACAGTGTGAAGAACTTTCGCGTAAAATTTTATGCGCCAACTTTGCTTCTAGGTCGTGGATCTTGTAAAGTTTCTTTCGGTCGGAAGATCATATCTATTCGGCTGAGATTCTATTTAAGAGTCGATAGTCAAATAAAAGTTTGATTTTCATGAAAGTCAAGTTATGTCGCTGTTTGACTTTTCATGTTGATACTGTGGTGAATTAAATTGATACTACGTTAAGTGATTCAGCCAAGAAATACGTTTCAAAATGTAATTTAAAGAATAACATGTCGATGTATTAAATGTCATCAATATACAACGCAATTAAAAAAATAATGATTATAAAATACATATAATGTCACATAATTAAAATATTTCAAAGTAACAAAGAGCACTATATTATTACAATTGCTACAAACATAAAAAGGAACTGATAGTGTGACAGCGAGAAATTAATTGCGATTGTCGCGACTGCTAGCGATATGAGAAAATAAATTTGTACGATATACTGTAAATGAAACAGATATCATCGATCTCATGTAAATAGGCACCGTCGTGCACGCGATTTCTCCAGTAATAGTACAATTACTTATTTTAATGAATTTTACATTGAATAACACTGTGATCATGTATTTATAAATGTTTAGAATTAATTGCACATAATGTAAATTAAGAAAATATTAAAAAATGTATTAAGTATCCTTTGCAAAATTTGTCATAAAATCTAAATCTGTTTGTTAAAATCGCGCTCGGTATCGACATTTAAAAAATGGCGTAAGAGAAGAAACATGAGAAAATATTGCTGCAAAATTAAATTGAAATTATTCAATATTTCGTGACACTTGTTAGTAGAAGCATATAACAACACGCAAAATATTATGTACTTTTGCCAAACAATCGTCGTACACTCGAATGCGGCACAGAATATATAACAATCCGATAATCGATATATTATTCCAACAAAGCACGTTATGTTATATGCTACGTATAATAGCTTCATCGCACGGAAAGACTAGGAAACGACATTAAATTGGCACAACGCGCAGAGAAATTAAATCCGGCAATCGATTGAACGCAATATTATTGAAAGATATCACGCACATACCTGGCACATATGATCGACACAGTCATCCAGGTTTGTGGAACAATTGAGGCCGGCGAAGCCGACTGGGCATTCGCAGCTGTAGTGGGTCTTGTGGTCGACGCATCGGCCTCCGTTCTCACAAGGGTCGTGCCCCTTTGTGCAAAAGGGTATCTTCTCCTCGCAGTATTCTCCCATGAATCCTGGGGCGCAGTCGCATCGATAGGCCTGTATGAGGTCGACGCAGGTCGCGTTATTAGCGCACCTGTTGTTGGCACAGTCGTCGACGTTGCTCTCGCATCGAAGTCCCTTGTACCCGGGGGCGCAGTCGCAACTGTCACACACCGACTGAACGTCAATCGAGACATTGAGCCCGACATGCGATCGCGGTAAATCCGCCAAACGTATACCGCGGGCGATAAACTGCCGATATATTTGCGCATCTCTTTTCTCTTTGTCGCGCGTTTCCAACGCATTAAATTTGACGATTGAATGCTTATATTGTGACATGATATACGAAAAAGAGAAATTCAAAAATATTCGTAAATTTAATGATATATATTGAGCGCTTCGAGAAAAAATATATTAACTTAAAAAATTTGTAGTTTCATGAATGTAATTATTATTACAAATTTATATGTGTGTGAATTATTATTTTTATTATTATTGTAAGCAATAATATGTATACAAAAATAAACTTGTTTAGAAAAACAAATTATTTTTTTATCAAAAATATCGCGTGAATTTTACGCAACATTTTTAATTTGAGTTTATATTGAGCACACATGATACACACACATTGAAAATAGCAGACGTGTAAATTTGGTTCTTTGATTTTTCGATAATTGTAATAGCCTCTTTGTTGAGCAGGTTATTGACAGCGCTGTCGGCAGTTTATAGCCGGTAGTCGTCACTCCTCGGGGCTCATGTGCAGAAGGTCCCGTTTATTACGCGTGTTGGGAGCTGGAATTTGACGAACGCTTCGATCGGATTCTACTCCAGGCGGCACTTTAGCAACACGACGCATTGAAGTTGTCAAAATAGCATAGCGACAGAAAAACGATTTTTTTATTGCTTTCTCACGAGCCAATCAAACTCGAGCTACGATATACAATCCATCTATATAAGCGTTTTCTATCGTGCATATTTAAGTCTACTTTGATGTCCACACTATTTATGATAATCTCAAAGAACTATTTGGCATACTCTGATGTGAAATGATGTTGATAACGTGCAAGTTCTACTGATATAATATCTACGATCATATCATCGCGATGACATTGTGTTTTTTTTATACAATTTTTTATACAAATTTATTTTATTATGCAAATCTATTTTAAATATTATTCAATAGTTAGGCAATATTTAGATAATTTATTTTGATTATTGTCTTAAAAAATATATGTCCTTATATTTTTTATACGATAGATCTATTTTGCAGTGTTATTATTACTTATTTGATTTTCTTTGAAAACAATAATCAAAGTAATAAAATTCGAATGTCATCAATTTTTCGCTTAATTATGCGTTTGATTATACATAGTGAAAATTCTACGTACTTTTGTAAGAGCAAAAGGCGCTAATGCGAGAAAGAAGAAACAGCTGTAAGGCATTACGCAAGAGAATCTCGAAGCAAGTCAGTTCCGTCTGGATATAATACGATATAGCAAACGCTGTCTATGGGTACCACTGAACGATCAACTCTAAAGTCAGCCCGACGAGCCACTACTTTGATCAAGACTCGGATTGTCGCGTTTGGTAAGTACCTGAATCTTCCTTCCTCCAGTACTTTGCAAGTTCCGGAGTTCCTGCAAGGATTTCCATAGCACGCGTCAATTTTATGCTGACACCGGTCCCCGTGATATCCTGGCGCGCACTCGCAACGGAATTGCCGGTCCGGAAGCGCCTCACAAAATCCTCCGTTTTCGCATGGCGAGGTGTAACACAGGTCGCACTTGGCCAAGACTTCGGCTGGCTGTTGCTTGGCTGCGCGGAAGAAAGGTCTACGATTAATGAGCAATTTTAGTACCCTACCGTGATACTGGGCCAAAAAACCACGAACTAAACAGACTGCGTCGCGTTGTACTACGAAAAATTAAAAACATCATCACGTGCGACAATCAATAAGCGATCGCGGATCAGTAATGGCCAAGTATTGAAAAAGCTCTCCTCTTGCCTCTCTTACAACATTGTATGACTCTACGTATCGACACACCGTCAAATAACATTATTAACTAGAACGAAAAGTCATGTATTTTTCAGTTCTAATGGAAAATCGATACTCAATGGTCCGTTTTACAACACAGCTATTTTACAATGAAGCAGAACAATGATCTGTATTTTCGCTTCTAGTGCTAAATATTCTATTAAACAATATTAATGAGCGTCACTGTATACTTAAACACAATAGAAAGTTAGAGTAGCAAATATGACGTAAATGATCGTTGGTTTCTATATTATTTGTATCAACAAATGCATATTGTTATCGCATTATTCATGAGTAACAATTAATTAATTTGATGGCAAGCGAAGTCTCTTGGCCATTCTGCTCGCAATCGAGATATATGTTTATAAAATATTTACTTTTGCATTGAAAGGCACTAGCCGGTGTCGTCAAGAGCAATTTGTCTCTCATTGCAGGAGGCTCCATGCACCTGGCTATGCCAGGCTCCACGTAATCTTTCTTCACCCATTCGGCCAACCATCGCATACTACAGTCGCAGTAAAGCGGGTTGGACCCTAGGGCGCTGTAAATATCGTCATCGATAAATGGCTGGTGTCGAAAATCGAGTTCATGTGGTTACGAACGAAACGATACTTACAGATGCGTTATAGACTTGAGGTCTTCAAAAGCTCCCTCTGGGATGACTGATATATCGTTGCCGTGCAGTGAACTGAAAATGAGATTATCGTGCACTTTTTGCATTATCGGTAAACATTAAATTTTATTAGATTCAGATATCGATTAATAATTTGAGACTTTTAACATTATGCAATTTTACTTTATCAGGATTAATGGCTCTATTGTGTTATAACGAATCAAATTAAAAGTTTAATATAAAATTTTATTCGCATTTTAATGCAATTAGGAACGTTAAATTTTATTTCTCCCCTGTTAATAGATTCGTTATAGAGAGCTTATTAAATGGTATCCGTTTAGTATAAAATATCGATCCGACAATTGCGACGTAAAGTGCATGAAAGCGTGTGCATAAATCGTTTTGCGACGACAATAAAAGAGGCACGTCACGATAAAAACTTTCGCCGAGTGTTTGTAGATGTAACTCACATTATTCGCAGGTTTTTCAATCCCGCGAGGGCATTTCGCTGCACGCATTGCAGTTTATTGTAACTGATGATTCTGCAAAAGAGATTCATACATCGTACATTACATAAATCGCTTCGCGGGTCTCACGAGAACTTTCTGCGAAGTAAATATTCGACTTACAGGTGCGACAGGTTCGTGAGATTCCTAAAGGTATCGTTGGACAGCATTCCGATCTGGTTGTTGCTCAGATCCCTAAAAACGAAGCGGACGTTAAAACATGGCGAAAGCCGCTCGAAAGATATACGGACGGTTCATGCGTGTTTTATTTACAGTCTGGTGAGAATCCTCAGGTGGTTCAGCCTCTCCGGCTGGATCGTCTTGATGTCGTTCACGTCCAAATACAGCTCGGTGGTTTCTGGTGGAATCCCGCGCGGAATCTCTGTAAGCTGAGACCTCGAACATCTCACCACCGAGCCCGCGCAATTACATTGAGGCGGGCAGTAATCGTCGCCTAGGCAACCCACGCTGTCGTCTGATGGGTGTAAAACGGTTGGTGGATCGTTAACGAGGATTTGCAATTCAGATCGCGAATATTATTTTATCGAAGCGAATAAAGATGCGCGGTGTGAAAGTAATTGGCTTATTTCTGAAATTTCTTCGCGATCGCCATCCGAATGACATGTAAATCGAAGACACAAACAAATTCGTTAAAAGTTCAAATTTAATTGATATGCAAACTGATATCGATTTTGTAGGACGTGTCCGAATCAGTTTGTATTCAAAGCTATATACATCGATTTTACGGGATACCTATCATATTTGTATTCTATTTTAAATTCATAGCGATCTGATGGACGATAAAACGCGACAGTACGAATTATACACGAAGATGGATGTATCTATTTACAATTGCACAATATTCAAATGCGATTAGACAATAATAAATTAAATAGTACGCACTGTTGCATTTAAACTCATGATGGGGAATGTCTTTAATGATGGCGTCCTTTAATCGTGGCGGATCATGACAACGGCCAGTGATTCCAGCTATATCTCGTTTCCTTAGCCATCCGGCAAACCACGCGAGATAGCAGTTGCATGATAGCGGGTTACTTTGCATGTTGCTGCACCGAGAAATATATCAAACGAGACAGTAGCAAAATAAGAAATAAATTATACTTTTAAATGATTTTTTTACCGATAATTGTTTACTTACATAGCGCGTATATGCGGCATTCCATCAAACGATCCTGGCATAACGCACGTAATGGAATTACCGTGGAGATTCCTACGCAGAGTGAATTATACGAATCACCGTTTGTATTACATGTAGCGTTTTATCAACAAAGACGATATGTTGTATCAACGAGGCACTTACAGCGTTTTAAGGCTCGACAGGCCGGCGAACATCTTATTGTGTACTTCTCGTAGCCTATTCTCAGACAGAAGCCTGCGAAAAGAAAGCTCGTCACTTCGCGAAACGAGGCATAATGAGAAAAGATTGCGAACTGAGTTGTGCCGCAAATTACAATTTGCCGTCGTTACTTTTATGAGTCGATAAATATCATACAACGCGTATGAACATTATGAAAGATATGAAGGTATGCGAAACATTTCGAAGATAATATCACGCGTGATATGCGCATGCTTTAAAAATATATATAGCTATTAACTATGAAGAATTTATGATCCTTGCCATCTATTGAATTATAAATTGTACGTAATAAATGTCAAGAAGGGCTAATATAGTATCTGTAATTTAAATTCTTCCATATTATTTACTTTTTCATAAGACGCGATAAAACAATATTTAGATATTATTAAATTAATTAATATATATTATATTTATAGATCAATTGTGACTACCTTTGTGACATTGTAATGTAATCAGTATCAGATATATAAACCACGTTTTGGAATAAAATTTCACAACCCGTTAAATAGATACTCAAGATACCACTCTAATCTTTAATGGAAAATCGTCGGCATTGTTTTAATAATTTTCTCGAGGACAATGCAGCCTTCGAAAATTCGCCAGAAGGTCGCTTCTCTAAAGTTGAAAATATCGACTAAGAAGGTCGCGCAAAGAAAACAATCCTGGTGTTACACAACGGTACTTTTAGAATGACTTCTATTGTGCCAGCAAAAGCGAAGTTTTCCGGAAAGACAACGACGACGACGACGACATCGTGAAGAAGAAGCCGGCTTCTTGTACGAAAGCGGCGTAAATTCGGGTTGACTTACAGGTCGGTGAGATTGTGAGCCCCTTGAAAGGCGGACGCCTCGATGCGAGAGATTTTATTTTTCCTGAGGTCCAGATGCTGCAACTCCGGCAGCTTCTCGAAGAGGCCGTCCGCTTTGATCTTGTCCAGCTCATTGTTGCTCAGCAGTCTGGCGCAAACACACAAGCGGAAAAAGATATATGTAGAGCAAAGTCGCGACAACATGATCGCGCCGAAATGCTTGCGTGTTTTGCGGTATGTATGTATCGTTAGTCAAACAGCGAATAATAAAAAAAAGAGAGAGAGAGAGAGAGACCGAGAGAGAAAAGAGCGAAATTGGTACTTGCCGTTCGTTACTCCATCACTTGTTTTCGACTACCCGCCGAGCAATTTATTCTCTCTACCGCGTTATAACAATGCACCGCCCAATAAATTTTGCGAATTGCACGCTGGAATAACTCTCGTGCAGAAATTGGTGTGTTGCAGAATTTTCGTGCGATATACCGGGCAATAGTGTAACTTGTGCAGTTGATTGTTTTGCTTCGTTCGTAATTAATACGTTCTAACGTATAGCTACAACTATTAACTTGGAACCTATCGGGATACAAAAATGTACGCTACGCGCACATGTGAAATAAAGTAAAATGATAAACGCAATTCCTATAACAATTATTACCAGCGTTCGTTGTTTAATTTTCGAATATATAAAATTTTAAAATTTTTCAACGCGAAAATATCTGATTGCAAGAGAGTAGAGATAAATCGTTCATAAATATATATATCAGATATATATTAATAAATTTTAATGTATAAGCAATACAAATAAGATAATAAAAGAAAATTAAAAGGCTATATATACATATTAGAAAAATAATTTGACGAATATTTTTATTTTTAAAAACTGATATATATGCACGAATCTCTCTCTCGTTAAATAGTATCGAGAAATTATTTTCCAAATCCGATCCATTAAACGGGCAGGATGCATAATTTACTGGGAATAATAGTCGGATCTCTTCATTGTCTTTTTTCCATCGCATTCCACGATTTAATCAGGTGATTATCTGGTTCAACGATCGAATTAATATTCGAACGAAGCGACGAGGAATTTTCTACAGACGAATGATATTCATCCTAACCACTCAACTGGACCGTCCCGACCGATCGATCGACTTGTCCGACACTCGAAATAAACATTTCCTCATAAAAAACTATTCCAAAATTATCTAGTAAAATGTGTATAATGTTAGATGAAGCATTTTTGTCAATCATGTTATATGAAACATTATTAATTATAAATGACAATCCTCAATATTTTATTATCTATTTTTTATCATTTTTTATTATCATTTTTGTTGCTAAATATATTTTATCATACATATTTGAACGGTTTAATCAATTCTTTGGTTTACTTCAATTTATTTTCCTATGTGTACTTATATCGTTTTGCAATTGCAATCTGCAATTTATACTAGGGATTATTAATGCACATATATGTTCGTATTTAACACGTTAATTGTTGCCATTAGCTAAAAATAATTATCATTCTGGTTGACGCGCCAGTTGCATTTAACACCCATATTAATTACTTTTATAATTTTGCCCTTTAATATTGCTAATAATATTATGGCTCATGTGTATTCATTGCACGCTTAAATATGATGTCATTATTTATACTTATCGCGAATTTCTGTGTTCAATAGATAAATTTTACATGGTAGATATTATGATAATATAATTATATTACACTAAATATATATTATAGCATATCATTTTTGTTATCTATTATTTATTAAAAGCATTTTGTTATAATTTTAATTCTGAGACAGAATTGTCTGGCAAAGGTAAATATAACAAAAATGATAATAAATTGCGCTATTATTTTTACCTTAAATAACAAAATACTTGATGGCAATATCTCTCTTATTTTAGATCGACCAACTACCTCTTTATCAACGCGATGTCATATAGTATTTCGGGAGACACTAAAAATGTTCGCGATGCAAGTGCGTTCAGCGTGACAAACATAACTGCATGAAATATATTGCGGATGCTGCTACATCCTGTATGACATAAATTGAGTTTGCCTTTGGTTCTTTCATTTTATACGCCTACGTTTGTCGCTCTCGCGATGTAACGACAAGTAAAATATTGTTAGAGGAAGCTTTAACGGAAATTAACTGGTTTTTTATCTGTCAAATTTTTCCGTTATCAATGGAATTTTTATTTATCAAGATATAAAAGAAAGTAATTTATAGAGTTTTCCGATAAAAATCTTTTGACGTTGTTTATAGCCAATTGGAAGGATTTAACCACAAGTGTTGTCTTATCGCGCGCAAGTTTAACATGTCGATTAAGAGATGTACTTACAGAGTCGACGTGTAAAGCGGCAGATCTTTCGGTATCGCAGTTAATCTCTTATTGGAGCAATCAACCGTTGCACCGTTGCATGTGCAGGGCGCGGGACAGGCACCAGGCAGAATACACTCCCCGGCCCTTTTTGTTAACAGCTCCTCATCACCTGCGGACAAAGTTTCGAAATAGAGTCGAACTCGAACAATCGCGCCTGAGCAACACTTCCGCACTCGATCACGATCTTTCTCCGGGTTAAGACGCGAATAATGTATGTACACGTGTCGCTCGAAGAGCGTCATTTCATATTCCGGTCACGAATGAATGAAAATTCGATCAAACGCAATTATACGATAAACGTGATGATGATGATGATGATGATGATGATGATGATGATGATGATGTCGATTCATTAACGATAAATTTTGATAATGAACAGTGTAATTAATGACGTCGTTAAACGAACCACTCGTACGCGTGATGCCGTATGTGCTTGCACGTTAATCGAGTGTTTAACGTCGTGCGTTAGTGTTGAGGACTAAATATGTTTATGTATGAATGCGGCTACGGCAGAAATGATTTATCATCATATTATACACCACATTACAATTTGCCGGGTGTGATGTACGCATACGTAATTATATTGACGATACACATTGTATAATGCAGAGTTATATGATGTATATCGATTGTGCTCTCTCTACGGTAGTCAAAATACAATAGCAATTTTTATTCGTTAAGACTGTTAAAAGAGAAGAAACCAAGAATTGATTTTTCTCCCTTCCTGTATTGATTTCACACACATGCTTATTTTCTTTGTCTTCGATGGCGCATTTTGTAAACGAATAGAATCACAGATTAAAAACTGATATTTAATGATGTCAATTGAAAGAAGGAACTATCAATTATTTTTCACACACGCACATCAATATAATATAATATATAAAAATAAAGCAATTATCATATAATAAATTTATACTTGTTCCGCATGAAAATGTACATTATTTTATGTATGTAATTAAGGAAAATAAAAAGCGTAAATCTGTTAAGTTACAATTAATCGATTAATCTCCGTTTTTTGATTCACCTTTCGACCATTTCTGATGATATTCTTATAGAGTGCTGTTTACGGAGCGACATTCGTTTCCTTCTGCAAAGACTAAAAGCACTTTTCTCCTAATTCTCGCGAAATCCTTCGTAAAACAGAAGCAAGGGTATTGTGTAAATTTTTGCCGTAGCCAGCGGCGCGCAAGTTGCGAAAGTTGTATACAAGTTTTACGCTAGCAACGTAAGTTCTTGTTTGCAGAGCTACACGTAGCAGTTATGCGCGTTTATACTGGCATATATGTGTGCACATATGTGTGCTACCAACATGTTTGTTTTCCACTAACTCTGAATTGAGTTTTGTATAAATACATACGGGGTAAGTCGTCAGAGATGGATATCATCTTTTCTTCCAGTAGCATTAACTGTGCTCGCATGTTGCTTGAATAATGCAACGCAATCTGTTTTATATTCTTTCTTGAAATGTGAATAAATCAATATAACAATATAAACAATATAAAATTAAATATCGTTTATTTTTGAAAGGCAAATTTCTATCTTCAGCGATATCAATTTTTAAATACGGTTATTGTAACGCATATTAAAGACTAATTTTAAATTTTGATTATATTAATATTTATGACGAGCATTTTATACCAATACTTATGCAAGGATGCTAAATTTGTTTTTTAAAAATATATATTTACATTTATGTTTAAATTTGTATTATATATATATATATATATATATATATATATATGCATAAATTGATTAATATCATAACTCGTAAGACAATTTCTTCCCAACGATACTATATCAAATTTGTTTGCATTTAATTATTTGATACATGCTCAAGACGTTAACAAGCAAGATATTACACAGTTCTCAGTTTTTGCATTTCACATCTATATAACTGAATATATACTTCATACAGCGGTATATGTATATGTACGTTTTTTTGGAATTATGTGGCATACAAGGAAAATGCATCCGAGCGAAACATGGAACCGCAAGTAGAAATGTTAGAAACTTCAAGATATTATTGTCAAACTATGTAGCGTATAGCAAAACACGAATTGCTTGGTAAAAAATGTCTTATATGCTGCATTTCACAGAAATGTGATGACATTCGTATACTTTCAATAAATTTCTTTTAAATTATAAAAGTCACGGAAAGACGAAACAAATGTGAACGACTGCGTGATGGAAAAGTAACCGAGATATAAAATTCTTGTAATTCCAGAAGTCACATATCAAAATTTGTGAATTGTGATATGATGATAAGAACATTGTAAATCATGTAGATATGTGTGTGTATATTTCGTAAAATTTAATATTCATCGAAGATATAAGTGACTTTAATCATAGAAAATATAAATTTGTCTTATATATAAGATTGATGCAATATTGTTGAAACATTTTTAACTGTCTTTTTAAAATGCGGAGAATATCAAAATGACAATGTATATTAAAATTTCACAGTTATACATAAATTATAGTTTCCTTATCTACCAACAGCATCGTTATATCTAACAGTATAACGTGCTGGAATATTTTCTTATGATTTTCTTCCGTGAGCTCAAACATAAAATTTCATGTCAACAGACAGATAAAATGTCGAAAAATGCAACCTTTCTATGGCACGTTTATCTACATCTATCATTTGTATGCAGCTTTATTTCGGTAAATGATTATCGTCCGTACGAGCACGAACGAAACGAGTTTGCGAGCGTGCCTGCAAATGCACATAATAACATCGGCTGACATTAATGCATACCTACCGTGTTATATTAGATTAGCGAAATACATCCATCGGCAATTACATACGCCCGGCAAAGTGACCGGCATTTATCAAGGGATCCTACTGTGAGAGAACACCTATATAGATCGTCTGGTCACCTGTTCCGGACGTGTCGACAAGAACGAAGAAGAATCGAGACAGAGAGAAAGGAGAAGACGTACGTGTCTGGATATGGGATGCAAGAAGCATTGGAAGTAACGGTGGGTGATTTCACACGAGCGAAAATGGAAACCGAGGATCGGTTCGGAAATGGCACACCGTGTGTTATCATCCATCGAGTGATTGATAATAAAGTAATACGATCGATCAATTTCAACGATTCGCGTAGACTTTCAATATCCTCTTTCAGCAAGAAAAGAATATTTACATAGATCTTAAATTAATTTCAGAGAGATTTTTTTCTTCTAATCTCATATTTGCATTTTATATTTGCTTTCTATTTAAGATAAGTGCACGTTTCTGATCTTAATGAGTCAAAAGCTAAGATGAAATGAATAATGACAATATTCACCTAAATTGTGTCAATGAAAAGATGATTAAATCCACACAGATACATATATATATATATGATAATACGAAAATTCGTGAAGATGTGTGAAATGTAAATGCAAGTCTGAGCGGATAATAGGGGCCTATTTACATTCATCGTGCAATATATCTTCCTCCATATAGACTACCGACCTGTATACTATCCTGCCGAAGTGTTAAGAAGAGATATACCGGAAAAGTCGAATTGTGCTTACCCTTACATTTGAACTTGTCGTCCCGCATCGAATCGATCTTCCGTTTCTGCGCTCTTTTTGGCGTTTCACATTTAGCGCCGGATGTCTCTATAGGGTGCGCGTGAAGATATGCGCTCAGCCATCGTAGATTGCAATCGCAGATGAATGGATTCCTCGCCAAGTGTCTGTGGGAAAAGAATAAAGTTACTGGAAAGGTGCTATAAAAATTGCAAGAAAAATACTTTCTTGATCAATTATTTTAAAAATAATGCTTTTACAAAGGGATGTTTTTAACATACTAGTGAAAATATTAGTAAAAATATTTTTCATTAATAATACGAACAATGTTTTAATGCTTCGCAGGTTGGCAAAAGTCCCATTAGCTAATGAACGTATATTGTTGTCGTATAGAGACAACAAGGTGAGACTGGTTAAGTCTTTGAACAGGTCTGTTCGTATGCATGATATCTCATTGGCATTCAGCAACCTGAAACAATAAGTTTCGCCATAATTTCCAACAGTTGCTTCGTTGCAATACCTCACGGGAAAGCGAGAACAATACGTAAGACCATGAATAAAAACATTTTCTTCAGTAGTTATAATATGAATTATTAATTCTCCCGCTTTCTTAAAGTTGACCTCGCTTCATGTGAAAAAACTATCTATATATACTTTAAATTATTAAATTTCGACAAGATTTTTCCATGCAATTTTCATGTTTTGGTTCTAAACTTTATGTTTTGTAATTTTCTGTATCTACTCACAACAATTGCAAATTTGTCAAGCCTTGGAAAAGACCAGCTGGTAGCTCTGTGATTTTGTTGCCGTACAAAACTCTGCAACGAAATACATCGCCGGTTATTATTGTATAAAATAGGAGATTTTTAAAGGTATCAATAAAAAAATACATACAGAGATTCGAGTGACTTCAAACCGTGAAAAGCGTCGGCTGCTACTTTTTTTATCTGGTTGTTGCTCAAGTCACTGCAGACGAAAAATCGGAAACATACAAAATACAAACATACAAAATTAAACGTTTCGTGCATGATTGAATAATAGTGTGTAAATATATGTGTTAAAATAGGCAGTCACTCACATTCTTCGCAATTTTCTATATGGTGAGAAGGCCTTGGGTGGAATTTCCGTAATACTATTCTGTTCCAATCGCCTGTATGAATAAAAAGAAAATGAATTACAAAATTATATTGACAAATTTATACATTTATGTTAGCGATTCCTTAAAACATCGGCTATAAATCGTTTCTTGTCTATTCGTATTATTTTAGGTTTCATTAATCATTTTAATTTTCCACAGGTATGTACAAAGATAAATTTCTTCTTATGCACTTTATATGTATTATTAATGTATTATTGTATTAAGATTTCATCTGTGATTGTCTTTATGCAAGATTACGTGGAAATATTATTAATAAATTAATTATTAATCATGAATTTAAAAAATTACTAGTATTATTTTTTGTTATCTTTTGAATAAATAATTACAAGCGTCCAATAAAAAGAGAAATAAAGCAAGTTTGAGATATAAATCTGTTGAATCTCAACTCGTGTTATCGATAATATTCAAACAAGAAACAAATTTCAGACAAAGAGGAGATACACACAATGCGCGAACATGGTATGACGGTTTTACTTACAACTCAGTGGTGTCCTCGGGGAGGTGGGTTGGCACTTTCGTCAAGGAGTTCTCCCTGCAATCGACGATCCCATCAGCGCATTTACAAGGATGCGGGCACTGAGGTTCAGCGCTGCATTCCGATCCCGTTCGCTCAACCAGGCCCGAACACTTGAACTCGTGCTCCTGCAAACAATAGGTTTATAAGTCGTATCAAGTATGAAGTAGGTTAGCAGGAGTATCGATAAATTTAATAATTGTTAAAATATACTATTGAAACTTTTTTCTTATACAATTATATTTGGTTAATAATAATAATTAGACTATTCTGTTTCATTAGAAAGTTTGACAGTTATGGACATGTAAATAATTTAATAATTTATAAAGTTGCATTTTTGTACTATTATTTGTCATATATTAATATATCAAAAATATATGTAGATCAGAGTATCTATATAAATTCTAATGAGAAATGTTTGTAGATTTTGCAAACTAAAGTTTAATCGTCTATTTAATCAGTCTCACCTGTAGATCGGCCAGATTGCGATCCTTGAGATGAGCCGGAGATGCACATCGTGTGTGTTGCCCTAGGCGAGGATAAGTTCTCAAATGACGCGATAGCCATGCTAAATGGCAATCGCAAGCGAGAGCGTTGTCCGCAAGCTTTAAAGTTCGCAAATGCGACAAGCCGTTCAGCATCTCCTTGCCAAGTGTTACGAGTTTGTTGTTATTTAGCATTCTAAAATGGATATTGACCACATGTTTATCTTCCATCACAAACGCAAAATTATTTCTATAAAATATCCACTCTAAATAATCTTGACAGACACATTTATGTACTTACAATATTTCTAAATCTTTTAATTCTCGTATCGAAGCTTCATCCATGCAGGTCAATACGTTGTTGTCAAGTAATCTGGAAAAGAAGTAACAATTGATGTTTGCCAAATAAGTAAAATAATTTAATACAATGTAAATAATAAACTTTTAAAAATATACTTGTATCTCAAAGTTCTGTTTCTCTGATTTTGTTTCTTTGATTTTTTCTGAAATTGTCTGATCATATGCAGAATGTTACTACTTAAATAAATAACAATGAAACAGATTTATAACGTAGGAAAGCTGATACTAATATTTCTCGACATATATATTTGAAAAGTAGATTCAATCGTAGATTTTATCTAGATTTTTGTTAGAGAACATTAGTTGCATAATGTGAGTAAAGTCGTTATATATAAAATATCTTAGTTTATAATGGACTAGTGGACTTTGACTAAATAGCCTGCAGAGAGATTGTCACGAAACAATCTGTCTTTGTAGCAAGTATGTCTGATAAGATACTTACAAATGTCTAAGAGCGGACACTCCTCTGAGTGTCTTTGGTCCTATAGTGGCAATCTGATTGTGACTGAGGTCTCTGTAATATAAAACACAATAATTTTTCTAAACGTCAGATTTTAATCTATCAATTAAATCATTTAGTCAAATTCAATAATTATTATCTTGAATATTAATCACGTAGTTATATTATTATTAATTTTCATTAATATAATTTTTAAAAATGTCAAATACGCAAATAAAATATACAAAAAAATGTTTCGTTAACTTCGACAAGCGCAATTCAGATTTTTTTCTATCGAAGAGATATTAATAGAAATATTAAAAACTTTTTTTCCTGTCCAATTTCGAAATCCATTAAAAAAGAGAGTTAGAAATTAAAAACTTAAATATATTTTTATACAATACATTTTCCAAAATACATGCTGTGCAATGTAATACACATCTATGTATACATGTGTGTATACGAGTCTGATTCTTTTTTTAATCAAATTAAATCAAATTTCAAGCATACTCGAATTCAATAGTGCTTTGCCCTAATTTCTCGTACACGTGTATGTAAAAACTACCAAAATCCATCAGCGTCACGTTCGCCGGAACCACGTTACAAACTCGCGACTGTCCATTGACCTCTCGACCTATACGTTCTCGAAGGCGGATGACCACTTTCATCATCGGTGCAACACCCGCCCGTTCCACTTTATTGCAGCCATAGTCGCGAGTTCGTCCTACATTTTCGATCAATTATTCAAGAGCTTTGAATGCCGCGGCAAATGTACCTTCTCCGCGCGCCTTCGATTATCCCACGGAAAGTTGACGCTAGTGCGTGTGACCGGCCACGTGTATCAGACTGTCACGTGAGTGACTATAGACTTACTCTTCATCGCGGCTGGACTCATTACGCGTGTAACGAGAAACCATTTCCACGGTCTCACGCGACAGCCGGCTTCTTACAAGTGTCTTGACGTACTTCATAATCATACGAAGTTCAAAGTTACTTTCACGTTACGTTAAAATCGATTCACAGGAAGAAGAGAGATTTAAATCTAAAAAGGACTGTATTATATTAATATAAAAAATACTATATTGATATAAAAAATATCGGTTGTTACTCCTCTTTCCAAGAGATTAGAAATTTAATCTTTTTTTTGTGTACATTTTATTCATATTACATGTCTTATTAATTACATGTTTTTGAATCAAACGAAATGGTATATCACAAACATAGAAAAATAATTATACGTTATACTCAATACTCATTTATGATTAAATACTAATGAAACAAGGAATAAGGGTTAACAAAATAATTGAATCGTCTCCCACTGATACGAAAAGACACCTCTGAACCGATCATTAGACAAATGGCGCGGTTGGAACCTCTCGAAAAGCACGCGAATATCGTGGAACCTCGAAATCTCTCCTCCAAGTCCGAGTTAACCAGAGGCTTGTGATGATAGGTTAGTGGTCTCGCAGTACGGCTCTTGCCATTGACCATCCATTGGGTTGGAACTCGTAATCTGTAATTATGTTTGCGAGAGAACGCGAGGAGGGATCGTGGGGGATGAGCGAGAGGAAAAGGGGGAACAATAAAAATGCGAAACAGAGAACGGGATAGCGATGGTAACCGGGAGAGAGAGAAAGAAAGACGACGGGGGGAATGTAAGGTGAGAGTGTGAGACTGGGAGATTGAACTCCCAGTTCGCTCGAGCCAATCCAGAAAGTAATTACCGAATTTCGACGCGCGGCCGCGTCTGCACCGAACGCACAAAGGGAACTCGCGTCATTCGCGTTCGAGTTCGATCGGCGCGAAATATTATTGTCCCCGTAGAGTTTGATCGTGCCATCGAATAAACGTTTGTCACACGCTGCGCAATAAAAGTTTGTCTCTCTAGAGTTCTACTTCGCGGAACTGAAGCAAATTAAAAATTGTATAGCTATCGATTATAGGTCAGAAATTATATATATGATATCCTTTTCATGCATTTTTCATCGGTAAAAATATTCGTCTAAATTATTTTGAGTAACGAATATATACATTTGCTAATGAACTAGAAATATTCTACGATATGTTTAAAAAAATTGGAAAGATGCAAGAAGAAAAAAATACGAGAAATATGATAATAAAAAGTTGGAGTATTTTATATAAAAACTTGGAATATTAAATTCTCAGTGCGCTCGGTCCAATCGCAAAAAGCGATATTCGAATTTCAAAATGACTACGCTAATTCGACAAAGAGAGCCAAAGCCTCTGTTTTATTTCGAAATACCATTCGTTATTTCAAGCGATTAATTACGAGGATAAAAACAAATCTGGTCATTACACATATATATAATTAGAGAAAAATTTTAGATAAAAAAAGTTAATTTTAGATAAAAGAAGTTAATTAAATACAAATCAATTTACATTTACGGAAACAATGCAAATGAAGACTTAATCATCAAGTAATCAAATAACGTAAAATTACAAAGGTAAAGCTTGATAAACGCGACACTCCATGTTTGAAATTCACAGAAGAATGAGACATTATTCAAAATAAATTCATTATGTACGGCATCGCGTCTTCTCAAGCTGGGCGAACTCAAAGAATAGACGACGATAATGAGCTGCGACAATAATCAACAGCGAAAGCGAGCATATCGAGCATTCGCTTTGTGCACTTTCGCGTCGTGGCATGTAAGACGAGGGAGCTGGAATAACTCCCAGTTCGCTCGGGTCAATCCAGAAAGCAATTACCGAATTTCGACGTGGCCGCGCCCGCGCGAAATTAACAAAAGGACCTTGGTGGTCCTCGTCTCTCGCGACCAGTCTGTCCAATTCTGAATGTTGCCGGGACCGCTAACTGCGTTACCGCGATAAGAACGGGACAAAACGAGATCCAACGAGAAATCTTGCTTCTGTTCGTAACAGAAGACCCGCGCCTTACAATCTTTTCCTATGGCCGATGTGGCATAATCGCCTTCTCACGAGGGATTGCGAAATTTCGAGGGAGAGACGTCGACGCGCCGAGAATTACAATCGACCGCGCATTCCTCCGATGCTTAGAATGTTACGCAGAAGCATTCCTGCGTATGCGGTTTTAATGATCTTTATAACGACATTCAACGTCGAGTCTTGGTATTTTTTGCTTAGCATATTTGCGACTTGCGAGTTGGACAGCAGTTTGAAAACTTTTCATTCTCTCGAGTAGACACTCCAACTCGTATATATTCGTCTCCGTAATATGGAGAATCGAATAAAAATGAAGCAACAACGAATTTACGATGCGTCAGCCGATATAATTACGCGTTGAAGAATATATGAAAATGTCAGATGAAATTAACGCGATTTTACATCCGGCTCATATATGATATAACACCATACGTCAGGATGAGAGGGATTTACTGCAAGGGCCATGAAGGCTGCATAATACAGCGTATTACGATCGTCGGGATACACGATAACAACTGTACGATAATTATTACAGCCGCTCGAGCGATAAACCGGGAGTTGAGTGCACGGCTCCTTGTATGACGGGCCTATAATTTGTCGACGCTGAAAAGCACCGCGGTCTCTTCGGGTTCTCGAATTTTGTCCTCTAAATCATTCGCATGGTCGCGCGACTTCGGTTCCATTTGGAATCGGACGTTTGTCCTGGTTATTATCACGCTTAAACATAACAGTGGACAAATGTTTTGCAACGTCGTAAAATATAAGCTTGCACGTTGCTGCATCGCGTTACAAGCGCCACAAATACGACCGTGCGACGGAGTGATACTAATCAGCGAAGTGCCCGCGCCCCTTTCCATTGTGTCAAACCATTTATTACCACGTAGGTTTCATCCTCTTATCGTATGGAATACCGTATCTTTTTACGTTTGCGCGATGGGTTAATCATATGTTACGTTCGCCGCGATCTGCCCACATCCCGGCGAGTCAACATCGAATTTACGAGACGAGCACATAATTAAGTCCACGTGGCTTTCGACCGTGTATCAAGGAGGGTTTAATTAATTGTCTGTCCATTTATCGCTCAATTATCAGGCTCAAGATTCTGTATCCCGGCGATGATTTTCTATAAATCGCGATTAATTGTAAAATAGTTTAATTATACATTGAGAAAGTATACACAAAAAAAGGAATTATATATATGTAAATAATGAATATAGTATGTAATCAATTTTATCTTAACATTACAATATTGTGTAAGAAGAAAAGGTACAAAAATAATACTGCAATATGACATTGCTTCGTTGATTCTTTCGACAAAAAGCGGAGAATCCCGTATTTAGAATCTTCACAAAGAGAAAAGGAAAGATAGAGCGAGTTTTGTAATGCGGGAGGGTCTGATTTAATTATAAATTAGAGAAATATCTTGGAGAAGGTCTGCAAAGCAAGCTGTCGCGGAATTACGAGTTTCTGAGAGTTTCTGAATAGCGGCCGGAGCAATGCGCGAATTAGCATCTTCCACTTTACGATTTTAACGCCGATTTATCCGCGCCGGATGAAGGATTATCGGGCATCCAAACGCTCGTGGGAATCTTGCCGTAAGGTCGTAACATAATACGTCCTTTTGTAAGGTGGCTGATCCAGCCTTATCGTCAGAAACTGCAGGTTATGCCCGAGCGAAGCGCAGCCTCCAAGAGGGAGACGGGAGGTTTCGAGTCCCGTCCATCTTGCCCACTTTGCAGGATGATAGATGAACGATCTCCTCCTCTCCTTTTTCCTCATATTTTTTTCTTTTTTCGCTTTCTGCTGCCGCTCCTCTTGTCTCTCTTTTTTTTGCGCCTCGGCTCTCTTCCCGGATCCCGTCGTCCTGTCATCCACGACGAGAGGAGAAGACTCGTGCACTTTTCGACTGCGTGGTTGGCAGCTGCCGGGAACACCAGGAATCTCGGAACGGAAACGGTTCGTGCCCCTCGCTCCATCGCGATAAAGACGCGATATCGTTGCTCGTCGACCCGGCCTGTCTCTATTTTGTTTTTCTCTACAACCGAGGTAGCGTCGTGCCGCGTTTGATTGAGATTCCGGATCGTGAAGAATGTTACGGCGCGCGCGTTCAGAGGAAAAGCATCGAAGGCGGGACAGCGTAATCACGCGGGATCGGTATTTCTTATGAACGTCAAGGTGGCTGTTCTCGTTAGTGAGAGGCGAACCGTATGTCGGATACGGGGAGGACCAGTCATGTCGTTGGAAAAAAGTCGGTTCGCTTTCTCGATGGATACCTTATGGATGAGCATAATTTGTGTGTACAGAACGGTCGCGTGTTCTTTCGATATAATCACTTTCTGAGATCAATAGCCAAGAGTGGAGTATCTTTAATAAATTGAAAATAAAATTAATGATCATGAATCAAAAGTACAATATTTTTTTAAATATAATTTTATAATAATTATTTCTCTCGTGTGTAATATTCATAATGATTGAATATAGAGTTTATTCTCTTTTAATGCGCCAAAATTAATGAGTTTTTTGTGTGCGTATTAAAGATTCATATATAAAGTTGCATGAGAGAGATCTAAACTAGTCTTGATATTATTTTATTTATTTTATTATTTTAGTCTTGATCTTATTTTATTTCGAAATTCGAGACGAGATTTTGAATTAATTGTCAAAACAATAAAACTAAGATTGTAAGATTAAATATTGTTTTAAACAGCTGTTCGATATTGAATAAAAATTGTCTATAAAATCGAAACAAGACAAGATGAGAGTTTTGCTGTAAAGGTTTATTTAAGATCAAGATAAAATTCAAGTTTTAAAAACTTTTCAATACTGATGTAATATTTTTCCAAATATTATCCTGGCATGAATCACGCGCAACCATATATGAACAACGCGAGGCGATCGATTTTATCATATCTAACTAATGACTTCATCAATCTTTGTACATGGCAAATGTCTAAAATTGTGGACTCTCTCCCGTCTATTCATTTTGCCCTCCTCCAGTTATCGAATCAGGCCTCGCTAATAAGACAGTCGGTGAGCGATAGCGCACCCCGTACTCAAGCAACTGGTCACGGAAGAGTGAAAACACTTTAGAGCGTCGCGTGCAAAGACGAAAGGCAAACGTCGGGACGGCGGGTTACATATCGAACGATCACCTTTAAGAAACTAAACCCCGGGGTGAAAAGTCGCGTATGCAGCGTACATTCGATCGACTCGCGGCAGGTTACACAGGCTTACCGGCTTGGCTTGCCTCTCGCAGTACATACGTACATGTACAATAGGTATGTAGGCCGTCGTCTGAAAAGTTTATGCGATAAACCTCGTCGTCGCGCTTAACACAATGACGGGAGAGAAAAAGACAGAGAGAGACAGAGAGACAGAAAGGGATGTAGAGGCGGCAATATGTACGTGCGTATTGTGCGTATATATCTGGTATATGAAACTTGACATTTGGACTGATCTCACATGTAATTATTCTCCCGAGATTTCGCTTCTCGAGAAATACGCGCGCACAAAATACCGGCGCGGATGTTGCTACGATATTACGAACTTTCATGACGTTGTAGACTCGTTGCAACATCGCTCGTATCTCGCAATGTTGCTGCGCTATTTAGTCGCACGTTATGTACCGTATACCACTGACAGATTGCATAAACCCAACGACATGTTACCGGCTCTTAACAAATTCTGCTGTACTTGTTTGTTCGTCGATCTTTCACACATGAGATGTCTCGAATTTGCAAAACTAATGCAATAATGCAAGTCTGTTAACAAGACGCTAAAGTCTAACGTTAATAAATCATAAATGTCAAAAGATTTATCATGTAATTATATAATATAGATGAAATTCATAATATTGTACTCACAGGCGTTTTAAGTTCATCATATTGCTAAAGAGAAGATCGGGCAAATGGCGTATTTGATTGTTATTTAGACGTAGTTTTTCCACTGCCACCAAATCTTGAAAAGCCCCTCTTTCGATGGTGTGAATTTGATTGCTAGATAGCAACCTGTAATATAAAAAATCCTAATGTACAATACCAATCGAAAAAAGATGGTTATTGCAATGCGAATATAATATAAATGATTTTCTATATATTGATATAGAAAAATAATATACCACAACGTAATTTTTGCATTTTATGATTAACGTTAATTAGAAATTAAATAGATATATTTCTGAAATAGTTTTTTTATGTTCAACAATAAAAATTAATACAATAATATAATTAACAGTTTATATTAATTTGACAAATAATTAAAGATTTGATCAAAGTAAAAGATTATTACTTACAAAACGTGGAGCGTTGCCATATCTTCAAAGTCTGTTTTGAATATCACCGATATATTATTTCCTTGAAGGTCTCTGCAACAAGAAAAACAAAGCCAATATAAATATCAGTTCTTAACAAGTAAAAAATTAAATAAATTAATGATAATTGTTAAAAAATTATTTGTACGATAATACGATAAATCGACATGTCATTTCAGGTGTACATGGCATATCGTGCAAGAAAAAAATAAACAACTCTTAAACAACTCTTCTTTCTAACATAATGCATCGTCATTGTTATAAGATTCTTTAACAGGTAACTATCGATTCAACGAATCTAGTTCTATACCTCGTAACCCTTGACGCAGAATAAAAGGCGAACAATTGTACCACGAGGGAAAGAGAGAGTAAGAGAATGAGTACACGGTATCGCTGTTCTGCCAATAAAGGGTTATACCACTCCGTTACGAGGAAGCGTGAATTTACTCTTCACATCGAAAAAGAAGAAGACCGTGAAGTAGCCGTCAAACACAGCCGTACGCCAAGCGTCTACCTCTCTCGGGGAAGTTTTATTAAGGCCTTATTAAATTGGTTCCTTTTCCCGGGGAAACTTTTTTACCTGACAAAAAGCTCAGGATAAGAACGAGTAACAAAGTCAGCCTACGAACGCTTTTTCCCCTCAACGCAGATTTCTCCTTTCTGGCCTGACGACTGGCGTAAATTATTCCCTCGTTTTCGCCCACTGACGTGTAATTCTCTACCGACAATAAAATGGCAGAAATGTACATTCGAAATCTACATCTCGCATATAAGATTTAATTCCTGAGCGAATACTCAATGAAATTATTCTCATCGACTTTCATCATAATATTCTTCTTATTTGTAATTATATCATATCTTTGGTTTTTTCATTTCTTATCTCAATATTTATGTTTTTTATCATGTACGATTTATTTTTTGTATTTCTACAGAATTTCGCCAATATAAATATAGTAGAAAAATATTTGTCGAATGACACGATACATTTTTAATTCTAAAAAATTCTTGTACAAGCATAAAAGTTTGAAAGTGAGGGGAAAAAAATCACTCCCGTTGAGTCGTTCGCGAGCTAGTTAATTATAATACCCTAAGATAACGACTACGAATACTTCCCGCTAACTTTATTAAGATATTAAACGCCCTCCTTAATACGTTGCAGGTAATATCTAATTACAAATCATTATACTTGAAGGAAGCTGAAAATACCTCCCGCGGGAAGAGCATGGCCAATCGCATTATAGAATCGAGGCCCATCGAACCTCGACGCATAATCCACTTTATCGACGATTCGATTAATTCTCGACGGGATAAAACGGTGACGGCTACCCAGCGTCTAACGAGAGCTTTAGGAGCTACCTAACGAACGATGTCACTTTTCCTGTTAACGTTGTCACTACTCTTTCCATGGTTCTCTTGTAGAATGAGTGTGATGAATGCCGTTATGATGAACAAACAATGTCATCGGGAGAATAGATGACAATATTATTTTAGTTTCGAGTTTCATGTAAAAGTTAATTTGATTAAGTTCTCTTAATCTTAATAAAATTATATTTTATTTAAAAACTCCCGATTTTTTAATATCGATAATTAATCGATTAATTTATCTGATTTTTTTCTAATTAAAATATCAAGGCTTTACGCGCTGTCTAATATATGTGTGTGTATGAGATAAAAGCTACATTATTTGATCATGTACGATGAATGGTCGCGAACGCAATAGAAGTTTAAACCGCTGTCTCCGTTATTACTACGATTATTCAAAGTCGTCGACGACATCCTCTATGCGAAATATCGTGGTTCATGAACTAACCGCCAGCTCGCAGAATAAGATAGAAACTTGGCGTGTGCCGTTTGCACGACAGATTTGCGCTTCTAGGAATTCTAATGTGGCCTTTCGCGGAGAGTCTTGCCATCTTATGTAGTGTTACGCTCAATTAAAATAGCGCGATATCTTCTCGGAAAGCAATAACGGCGATCGTTCGGGATAATCGTCTTGTATGGAGAACCTTTGCTCGACGAACTGAGAGGAGTGTCTGAGCGATGCAAAGGGTCGATCGCCCGAAGCGACAGTTCGTAATTCGTCGTTACGATGAGACAAAACTTCGCAATATGCCCACGTTCGTTGTGCTTGTTCTATAAATATCTTAAGTTCTTTTTGACAAAGTTTTTGATGAGGGACGTTTGTGAAATGTCACCTAAGAGCAAACGTCAAGACTAATTTTTGCGCGGTCTTTAAAATAAAATGACACTTTATTTATAAAATATAGTCACTTGAAATTAATATGAATGTTTAATAAAAGATCTCTTAAATCAAACATTGAAAATCTGTTTGAAGCGCAGTGATATTTAAAATTGATACATCGCTCGATAAAATGAGAATGCATATTACAACACAAAAGTCGTTAAATGAACGCGAAATAATTTGAATTTTTAAATTTATGTCACATTTATATCGCGCGATGGAATAAATTCCATAAAATTTGAGTCGCATGCATCATTAAATGCGCTTCGCGTTCAATGAAATAAATTGTCAGTCCAAATTCACAAGTAATTACAACAGTTTAGTAACATGGTAGACCGTCCAACAAAAATGCATAACGATTTAGAAAAAAAATAACTAATTCTGAAAGATATACTCGCCGCTGCGATGATAAGTGCTTATCATTGCGGTTCTACGATTCAAGTCGTATGGCTTGTCGTTGATTCGATTCGATCGCTACAACGACGTCGTAAATCCAATAGCATTCTAGAAGACGCAATTTTCATCTTGCACTTTTGCCAGGCGACTCACGTAGCGGCTAACGAAATTAGATCTCGCGTCGTCGACCGGAACATCCGCTAAATACGTTTCCATGGGTTTTCGCGAAGACGGGAGGACAGAAGCGGCGCAGAGAGGAATGAAAATGGCGGGAGAGTCCTCGAGAATGGTAAATCTGGTGGGACGAGGGATAATGGTGTGGGAATCTGAAAGAACAAAAAGGGGCAGTTACACAGGGTGACGCGGGCTTGGTAGTCAACGTCCAAGAATAAGGTGTTGGTAGTACATGTCTATATTTGAGTTGTGGCGGGATGAGAAAGCATAGAGGGATGGGAGGACAGGCTGCTGGCAGATGTAATCAAAGTTTGCAGACAACCCCAACCCGAAGGAGAGGCTCTGCGAGAAACAGAATAGGGGAAGGAACGTAAGGGATACCGCCGCGGGATCGGCCGGATATCCGATCGTATCTCACACGCCGCACGTTGTCGATACGCCTGCTTAATGTCGTAGAAATGTCGCGGGTGGAAATAAAGGAGAGAAACCGCGACAGAGTAAGACAAAGGATCGACGCTGCGCGATTCCTCTTGCCTCATCTTCTTGCCGAGATTTGAGAATCGAATAATTTATAGGCGATGATTATATTCAGATTATGCATATGCTTGCTGATACCATGTGTATTTGTATATTAATAATTTTAAAAATGCTAGAAAATGACATGATGTAATTTGTCATATGAGCGTGTGCATATATATCATTCTAATTATTTCAATTTATCCGATACTGAATAATGTAAAAATTCGCGCAATAATGTACTTCAATTTGTTTATGTCTGATTGTAAGTCGTACAATTTCCCATGAAGTTAGGAGGATCTATAATGTACACCTTGTGGTAGTAATATCCGCTTGCAGACCGATTTATTTTCCCTGAGAAAATATAGTCTGCTCGCCCGAATAGATCGCATTCTCGATTTTTCCAGCGCATTCGGAGCGTCTAAAATCGCAAATCTAGATAAGTTGAATATTGCATTTAGAGCGACTGTTCATTTCTGCGATCGAATTCATGGGAATTTTGCAGCAAGTTAGATAAAGGATGGACGGAGATAGCTGCGCAATGAAAATATCGTGTCAGATAAGAAAGAAAGCTGCCGTGATAGGAAATATAGTCTTCTACATGTCAGCGTAGAAATGCAAATGGAATCTCTTGATTGAGTTTACCGTTGAAATATCAACGCCTTTGGTCTCTTCAACAAGAGTGGAAAAAAGCAAAGGTATCGAATTGATTTGATATATCGACGGCTTTTCGTTCGACTTGCTACTCTCGAATAATTGTAACTAGGAATGACAGGAATGTGAACGGTATGCAATGATTCATTCTACAAACGAACAGTTAAATAAAAGTTAGTATTCAGATTACTTATAATTAAAATCTCTCTTTTAATACTATTATTTTTTATATTAATATAATACATATTTATTATCTTATAGACTTGTTGACTCTATGTTTTTCAATAATAGATAATAATTCACTACCACTATTCGCTATCATTATTTTGCAAAATAACAAGTGATACTTAGTGTCTGTGTATATTTCGAAGTAATGGTAGCAAATTGAAGACAGAGACAGTTAATTCATGGTATAATAGTTTGACATAGAAGGCAGATGGCTTTTACATTACTGTCGTTTCCTCTTCCGTCCCAGAACAATGCAATTAACAGTTTAGTGTTTAAACTTAAGCTTTGTCCGCATTACCGTGAAAACTTATTGCGGCGAGGAAAGTTGTAACGCAACAAATACATGTTGACTTCTAAAACATTTAAACGGGATTCTATGCTGTAATATAGTGTCGCTCAGTCTATGCTTGAATTTATCAAGCTGGCATACATCCAAGATGAAATTTCTTTTTTGTTTCGTGGCGAACAGTCGTTCCTCACCTCGCGCCGCGCACGTGTCAACTCAGTAAAATCAAATATTAACGATCGCCGGGATGTAGAATCGCGCTCATATGCTGCGTATTTATGGTGCGATATGGTGACGCATCAACTGTGCTACACCAGCTATGTTTTATGCGAGATGTATGATAAAATAAAGAGTCTTAGAAATACGAAGAAACTGTCTGACAGATGAAAAATGCGTAAAAATCCAAGTGTTTAAAATATAACATTTGTCATAATGATATTGAGAGATCGATTTTAGCTCAGTTTTTTATCCGGCCAGATTTAATCAGACAGGAAGTCTATAAAGGTAGGAAAAATGTTACACTGTTATTATATTAAAATGTTACGACTGCTCGTTGTT